GATAGAGCTTGTCACATATTATGCAAATGGGAAAGTTTGCATAATTATTGCATTTTCTATAAGTATATTATAAGAGCTCCATTTTGGTACCACTTACAGGTTTCAATTCTCAAAACTGTGGAAGTTATTGTACTTTCAAATGATTAACATCAACTCTTTCTCAAGAAATGCCACACCCCTTTTCAGTAGCATAATCATGTAAAGTGTTATAACTTAGTGTCTGACAATGTTTTTTCCAAAACTTTCAATTGCAAAATGTTCAAAATTAATGTACCTATATATTCAAATTCATTTATGTTCATGGATGACTAAGACTGGTCACTCAGGCAGCAAGGTATTGTGCGATACCGTTGTAAAGAGGCAAAAATTACGATTAATGATGTCACATTTTATGCAAATGAGACTATTTGCATAATTATTAATCTCATAATATGGGATACTATAATAGCTTCATTTTGGTACCACTTACAGCTTTCAATTCTCAAAACTGTGGAAGTTATTGTACTTTGAAATGATTAACATCAATTCTTTCGCAAGAAGTGCCACGCCCCTTTTCAGTTACATAATCATGTGTCTAACAATGTTTTTCCAAAACTTTCAATTGCAAATATGTTCAAAATTAATGTACCTATATATTTAAATTCATTTATGTTCATGAATGACTAAGACTGATCACTTAGGCGGAAAGGTATAATGCGATACCGTTGTAAAGAGGCAAGAATTATGATTGATGATGTCACATTTTATGCAAATGAGGCAATTTGCATAATCATTGCATCCGATAATATAGGATACTATAATAGCTTCATTTTGGTACCACTTACAGCTTTCAATTCTCAAAACTGTGGAAGTTATTGTACTTTGAGATAATTAACATCAACTCTTTCAAAAATTCAAGATGGCCGACAAGATGGCCGCTAATGGATACCATGGGACAATATTTCATTCTGGGAACATGCAAAAATCTTTAGTTTGGACCTTTAGGATTACAAAAATGTACATTAAAAAAATACATCTTTCGGGTGCATGGGAACCCCTCCTTCCTACCCGTCTATTTCTTTATGGTCCAATTTCTTCTCCCTCTCTCACATAACAAAAGTTAGAAAGTGTTGATTTGCTCTATGTAATTTATTGTTTACAATAAATAGAAAGATTCACCCCCCTTCCCCGCTTATAAAATTATCTTATTGACTAAAAAATAATTCATGCATAGCTAGTCAAACCAGAACACTCACTCATACTAGATAACATTGAACCTAATGAATGTTGCCTTTTTCGAAGTGATAAACGGATAATTTCATATTTGAGTAAACTTTCAGTATCATTCAGGGAATATTAACAAGGTACATGCTATTGAACAGATATTAATTTTTAAGTGTTGTATTGTTGTAGGGGTGACAATCCATATTACCGACTGACACAAACAGAAGTGACCCTTGCAAAGGGTTCCATTGAAAATATATTATTAAGTGATATTGTATAAAACATTTTTCAATGTTTGAAAATTATAATCTTATAAATAACATTTTATGTAATAAAACTGTAACTGAAATGGTAAATACGGAATATGATGCAATACAATGCAGTGCAATATAATGCATTAAAATGCAGTGCAATATAATGCAACAAAATGCAGTGCAATATAATGCTATGCTATGACCAAAATATTTTAAACATCGTCAACAAAAATGTGGAGCCTTCTTCTAATTCTCATTTTTAAGTTTAAAATAGTACTAAAACCAATTTAAGAATCTCTTATTATCTTGTTTTTAGCACAAAAACATCCATTTTGTTATTTTTTTTACTACAAAGCTTGTGATATTTCCCCACAAAAAGATTTTTTAAGACAAGACTGTCAACCTCTTTTTGAGGTCACATGACCATGACAGTTTTAATGTACCGTGTGCCAAGGTTATTCTGGCTGAATCGAAAAGTTGCTGTTGCAAACTATTACGAAGGCTGAACAAAAGTAGAAATATATTAGTTCAAAATTTGCAGGCATTTCAAGTGCCAAATTGTTAATTGATTGAACTTCACAAAAAGAATTTCTTGTGGAAAGAGCACTGCAATATCATTCATAACATATACAAGGAATTGATTAAAATGTTTCAACCAGGCACGTCATTGTCATGTGACGTAAAATTTCTGCTCTGAAAATGAAGACATGTGCTGACTTTATATCATCAATATCATGATGAAAGGAACTTTTGGAATTGTTGATGGTTCACTATCATAAAGCGCGGCCTTCATACGGTAAGATGGCATAACTAAATTGAGTAAAATGGTTTGAGTATAACTTTAAGTTCGAATCAATTTGTATCCGATGTCCCTCATTTTGCCAAGTTTTAACCTTACTGCATTTCACACAAAAATGATGGGATCTGTAAATATGGGATCCTCATTTTTCGTCGAGTACCTGTCTCTGAACACTCAGTGCCTCACCCTCGTGATTTTAGGACTTTCAGGACTCTCTGAAATAGTTGAACTATGTATTCATGCTTGTTGCCCAATATACGCCAAAGTTAATATGGTTCGTCAAAGTAACAACAGCTCCAAGTCACACGTTCGTCAATGTAACATTGATCTTACATCAACGTAACAAAAGCGAGGGACTAAATATGTGAATTGCATCTTTGTTAATATATCAAACATAGAACTGCCTGCATATTCTCAAACTAGACCATCTTCTTTAACTCTGAGCCAAATTATTGTCCACAACTCGAGTTATAAATGGTGTAAAATCGAGAAACAAAAATATCTTACCAAAAATGAAGCCCGGAAGTTCTTCCATCTTGTTACGCTGACGTATCGTCAGCGTAACCTATGAGAGACAGTGGAATGTTACATTATGCTGCGCCGTTTGGCTTGCATTTTAATAATTGTGTTACCAAGTGTTCCTTGAACAGTCTGTTCATTCATTATCAAACAGTATTTCACCAAATTAACATTTCAAAGTCATTGTAATTTAACATTTTGGCAAACAGACTAGATCGTTCTTTTATATACAATTGACACTCAACTAAAAAGTGAATTTCGGTCGCAACTGACTGACCACATGGACACAACCTCTGGTCTTGGGGAGTTGCGGTGTATCTCCCAGTTTCAATGTTTATGGGCAGTGTGCCGTGACGGAGTTGAGCAATAACGCGTCTCTCATATCTGCTCATTAACTGCATAACGTAATGCTCTGGCCGCGCAATAACTTTATGTAGCCGATAAGTTTGTTTCCATTTGAGCACCCGTTATCATTATGAATCATCCTATGCCCCTTGATATGATCATGTGATGCTAGAGTTTCTTTGATTTGGTTAATTTTAGCTCTGGTGTTGGGGATAAATTATATGTCTATGATGTCCCCCACTCCTGCATGTACAAACGTTGCCTTTGTGTGAAATTCCCATGTTTTACGGTTTCCGGCCCTTGTTAAATTAATGTTTATGCACTTGCTTAGGAAGTCTATCATTGGCCATGTTTGTCAGTTGACACCACAAGCGAAGAAAATTTAAGAAAATAATTATAATATGGCTGCAATTTTTGATAAAAGAACATCTTTATTTTTCAAATACTGTTGGATCATGGATTTGGCTCAATTATATACTTATATCTTAGGTTCATAGGACCTATGCTGAAGAAAGAATCGTCAAAATGGCCATCGTTTTTCATGAAAAAAGTAATTTCCATGAGAAAATTGAGAGATTTCACACATAAGTGAAAGTACAACTTATACGTCTACGTATACTTTAAAGGGTCATGTAGAACTATTATATTTACTAAAATCAATTTTAAATTGTACTTAATGGAACATAACTATTCCCGAGACTGTGAATGCAGTGTCATCTGCACATGTAGATTATGCACATTATAATTAAATGCTTGCTTCCGTGTCTTAGTAGTTGTAGTGGATTATAAACACGATCCTTTAAAGTGAGTCATGATCCTTTAAAGTGAGTCATTACATAAACAAGTTGATTATTCTTAAGTTTTCATGATCATTATAAGTTCAATGAACTTACAAAACGGTATATATATGTAGATGATAAACATATACATTTGGATCTCCGTATAAAGCTTTACCTACATGTGTCTGGAACAATTGACCGCAAGCATTTTTTAAAGTTAATTGGCTGAGTAGGAACAGTATCCAATCAAATACTTTAACCATCAATTTGAAACACCCAATCAAACCAGTAGGTTCTAGCAATTCCTGGAAACAACCCATTCAGTAGCTCAACAAATGACATACAAATTTCATAACGAGCATCTCCAAAAAGTCAATTTGAGAAGAGATAGGTCTATAACATATGTACTATATATGAGCCTATTTTATTGTAGACAAACACATTTGGAACAACTTAAACATGCTACAATTCAAGAAAGTTGAAATGGCATCCCTTTGACCTTTATTTATTACAGTCCGAGAAGATCTTTCCTGACGAAAAGCTCACATTATGAAACACCTTGTACGTTTACTTATAAGTATACGTTATAAGTTGTACTTTCACGCCATGCGAAATCTCTCTAATGGACTCAAAAATTGGCTATCAGATTTTCGAGGCCATTGTCTCATGGAAAAGAGACATGAACAAGGAATTTCCAATATGGCAACTCAAATTATAATGGCCACCATTTTTAGAAGAGATACTGTACTCCAACTAATATTTGATGCTATCATATTTTGCGATTTTGAAGTTTTGCGGCTATTAATTTTCGCTAATTTTCAGTCTGTTGAAGTTTTGCGGCTCTTTAATTTTTGCAGATTTGTGACTTATCAAAAATTTTCCAGCTTCTTTTTCTAATTTCTTTGATTAAAATCTTTATATGGTGTCATGTCCTGTGTATAGATTTTGCCAAAAGGAGACAATACTACTTTGTTATTTGTATTATGAAATGTTCAAAATGATAAGTGATTTGATAAATTATACATTCTGTGGAATCTGCTACTCCGTGGAGTTGCTGTTATTCTTGCGTAAAACTGACAGAAGCTTCCTTACTCCTTTTAGATATGAGACAGATTTTCATCAGGTACATTGTTTAGGTAAGGGTGGCTTTGGCGTGGTCTATGAGGCCATCAATAAACTAGATGACTGTCGCTATGCTATAAAGAGAGTCCAGTTACCTGCAAGGTAAGTAAGCACATCAAAATATGAGGACTAAATCATATGGAAATACCAATTGTCAGATTCTTTTTTGAAACTTGAAGATTTGAAATATTTTGAAAGATTAGATTTATATGAATTATTACATTACCACACACAATAGAGAGAGTGTAGAAAAGTTTTGTGTCCATTCTACAATTATTATATACAAAAGCAAGAGCAGTCTAATTTACCCAAATAAAATAATATTTAAACTCCTAAAATACAAATACATGCTGAATATTGATATCTGAACCTTTACAATATGATTCATAAAACTTCAGTAAAACTGCAGAGGAGAAAGTGAAGCGAGAAGTGAAAGCTCTGGCAAAGTTAGAACACATTGGCATTGTGCGCTACTACCAGGCATGGTTTGAGTCCCCACCACAGGGATGGCAGGAGGGGAGAGACAAGGATATGGAGGACAGGTGAGCAAAATTCATGTAAAGGAGACACATAGAATCCCAGCATGTCTATGGACTCAATTGAAAGAAATATTGTTGTTGAAATTAGAATTCTTTCAAAAATGTTTGAATGATTGTATGAAAGATTGATTGATTCAGATGATTTCCAGGGTTCTCTCCTAAGATTTGAATCAGTGTGGTGCTGCAACCTGCTGAGAATTTGAAGCTCACCATGCACCCAATTGAGAATCTACACACACTCAGTAGAGAATGAGAAATGATAATAATAGAGAGGTTAAGCTACACATATTTAACAAAACTTGAACGTGAACTTCAATGCGCGCGCAGATAAATGACGTCAGATTTGTTTATTTGCTGTGGGCCAGCGTGAAGTTAACAGGTTTTTACATGAGATTATCATATTGGTGCAATTTACAGACGCGTATTCAACAAAGCATGAACGTGTACTTCTATGCGCTTCTTCTTTTTAATTGTAAATAAGAATACAATGAGTAAATGACAACTTAAAATGTGATTGTTTTCTTTTATTCCGTACAATATAAATAGGCAGGGTTAATTTGATACCAGGGGCTTAGTACAATATGTATGCTAAACGAATTGACAACCAGGGCCTACGATTGCCTTATCACTACATTTGATTGGTGAATGAGGCATTTTTTGTATTACGTCTGCCCTTGATATGAGCAAAAAGTGATACTAAAGTAATTGAATTGTGGTTGAATATGAAATAAAGCAAAAATAAAAAACAAAAAGACTAGATTTGAATCCAGGCCTAACGGATACGAGTCCTTAGTGCTAACCATTACACCATAGAGCCAATGACCCTTATATACAGTCACCACATAAATATAGATCCACGTCCACTGACATGGTTTCAGACGTGTAGCTTAACAGAAAATTTTCTTAAACATGTACTTGAGCGTGGACTTACGCGTTCAGGTTCACGGTTTGCATTTGAACGTGTAGCTTAACCTCTCTATTGATATTTTGACCAGTTTGCAACATTTATTAGTAGGATTAGGTGATTGAGATTTTTGCACCCAGTTTAAAAAAGGGACTGGGCACTTATATAGAACAATGGTTATTTTAAGATTATAACTCATGATGCAATGTGATTTCTTTATTTCAGCGAGTGTCTCACACCCACTCCCTGTAACTCTATTCGGGATAACACGAGCTCTGTGGTTCCAAACTATCTAAACATGGACTTCAACCCACTAAAACCATTTGGTGGTCAAATGGACACCCAAGACCTGTTACAAGACACCTTAGATAAACATGAAAACTCAAGTTATGGATTTGTGCCTCATAAAAACTTACCTAGTGACGAGAGTGGCTCATTTAGCTTGGGGACCCCTGCTAACCAATGTCAATGTGATAATGAAGACTCTTTGGACATACAGTTTACTAGTATTAATTCTGAATCACAGACCCAATCAGGGTCACCATTTAAGCAGTATAGGACACCTGCTAATGATTGCAAATGTGAAAATGAGGACTCTTTTGATGTAGAATTCATAAACTCTAATTCACAGACACAGTCTGGAGGAAGTAAACCGTACATAAGACATTTAGCCTCTGATATATCTGAGTCATTCAATATTGTATTTGAAGACTCAGGATGTAAGGACAAGTCCAGAGATTCGCAACATTCCAATGATAAAGTGCACTTAGAATCATCTATGGAGCCCTCAAATACAGACTCCTCTGAGGGATTGTCAACTATATCTCAGGATATAATAGTTTCAAATACAAAGAGAAGTTATACAAACAATAATTCAGATTCACTGAAGAACATTGTGATAGATCAAACCAAGGAAGATTCAGGCTTATTACAACCAATGAATGGCATCACAAATACATGGACCAAATCATTAGCAGATGTAGCCCCAAAGTGCCAACATCAACTACAGCCAAATTTGTATCTATACATTCAAATGCAACTATGTAAAAGAGAAACCTTAAAAGATTGGCTAAATGCCCGAACTTTAAATCGTGATAAATTTGAACTTCTGGACATTTTTGATCAAATTTTGCAAGCAGTTGGATATGTACATGACAGTGGACTCATGCACAGGGATTTAAAACCATCTAATATATTTTTCTCTCTTGATGGTACTGTTAAAGTTGGTGATTTTGGCTTGGTGACTGCCCTTGATGAAGAAATACAGAGACATAGTGGTGTAGAGAAGGGGTCAATGAAGAAACATACTGATCAAGTTGGGACCCAACTTTACATGAGTCGAGAGCAAGTAAGGAATTTTTGGTCCAGTTATTCTGATATCAAACATTTTATATTAACACATATCAACTATAAAACAAAACTGACAAAGCTATATTGATAACAAAAAGTGGTGACATATTGTTATGATCTCCATTTTTGTGACTATGGCTGGCGATCAGCATCTGTAACAAATTCTTGCAACTTCCAATAACTTAACAAATACTATTTAGACTTACTTCAATTTTTTTCAAAATCATCTACACGTTTTCTGAAGTTCAAATCTGACTTTAGATTTTCGAGTTTACCTTCAATGACTTTCCTAAGGTCAAAAAAGGTATATTTTCAACTTGCTTGACCTTCAATGACCTTCATAAGGTCAAAAAAGATTTGCCCTTCAATGGCCTTCTCAAGGTCAAAAAGGTATTTTTTCAACTTGCTTCAAATTGACCAAATTCTTTTTTCAAAATCATTTACAAGTTCTCAGAATGTCAAATCTGACTTTAGATTTTAAGATTCGACCTTCAGTAACTTTCTAAAGGTCAAGAAAGTTTGAAAATGTAAAAAAGGTATTTTCTCAACTTGCTTCAGTTTGACCAAATTTTCTTTCAAAATCATCTACAAGTTCTCAAAAGTTCAAATCTAACTACAGATTTGAGATTTGACCTTCAATGACCTTCTCAAGGTCAAAAGAGAATCATAATTTTATGAGCAACTAGGTGGTGACATTTTGTCATATTAATGCCTTGTTTATATTGCATTTCATACATGTAGCTTACTTTAATACCATTGGTCAATTTTTGTCCCATCCCATCATTGAACAAACTTCAAGGGGGATATAGAAAAGCTGTCAATCTGTCTGTTCATTTGTTCATCTGTCCGGGCCTTAACTCAAATACCGTTTGCAAGGCTTATGCCTAATGGGTGTAACAGTCCTCTGCTCAAGAAGGAATTTTCAATATGGCTGCCACTTTTCATAAAACATGTAATCTTTGACAACTCAAATACTATTTTTGAATTTCAAAATGGCTGCCTTTTTTCTTAAAAAAGCCATTATCTTTGATAACTCAAATACCATTAGACAGATTTAGTTCATATTTTATTTGCTGATGCCAAGGGACAAAGGAGCTCTGCTTGAGAAGACATTTTCAAGGTGACAGCTGAATTTCAAAATGGCTACCATTTTTCCTCAAAATCATAATTCTTGATAACTCAAATACCAGTGGACAGATTTGGTTCAAATTTTATAGGCTGAATTTTACAATGGCAGCCATTTCTTGTAAAAAATAATCTTTGATAACTCCAATGCCAGTGGATGGATTTGGTTCATATTTTATATGCTGACACCTAGGAACAAAAGAGCTCTGTCCAAGAATTTTTCTAGAAGGACTCTTTTTATCAAAACTTCTATTGTTTGGTGGGTTTTGCTACCCCGTGAAGTTGCTGTTTTCTAGTCTCCCATAATTTCAACTCATTAGAATATAAGTAGATACATGTGCATGTACTGAATTCTGTCACCTGAAAATTGAAATGAAAGAAAAGTGTTTGACAGTGTATTTTTTATTTCTTTATTTCTAGATGGCAGGCAAGAGCTATGACTACAAAGTTGATATTTTCTCACTAGGAATGATATTCTTTGAGTTATTCTACCCATTCAGCACACAAATGGAACGAGTGTCAACCTTAGTGAAGGTGAAGAACAGTCTCTTCCCATCACGCTTCGTTATGGAACTGCCTGAGGAGGTAATTAGAATCCCAGTATGTCATGAAAGCTTCCAGAGGAAAATGGAACACGGTTTTCCATTTTCTTATTTTGCAGATCAACTCTGCCATACAAAGTGTATTGTATTTTTCATTTTACAGTTTCAACTTTGTCATTCAGATTCATTGTATTTTTCACATTTTTCATACGATTATTTTCCAGTATAATGTGTTTTTCATTTTGCAGTACAACTTTGCTAAGTGGTTGTTATCCAAGGACCCCAAGGATCGGCCATCCACTCACGATATAATGAGTCACCAACTAATGGAAGCATTTGAAGCTCAGCGTCCAAAGAAACGATTCCGAAGACGAACTGCCTCTAGTTCAAGCTCTGGCTCACTAGTTGGCCTTAACCTTGAGACCTGTAAACCAGATACAATCAGCGAGAGTCTGGGTTAGATACATTTTTAAGAGGCCTAGACCAGAATGTGAGAGCATGTGTAAATAATAGAGAACAATAAATTATGCCAATCTTAACATACTAGCTTCAGGATGGAATAGTCTTATTATTCAGAGGTGGTAGTCTTGTGATCGTTTCCATCACACATTGGTATTTTGCATACATTTATCACATTTCTCATTATACTGATATTTTAAATAACATAAAGTAAGTTTTTATGGGACCAAATGCATTCTGATAAAAAATGTTGAGTCAGTTATTTTTTATGTCACCACCAGGAATAGTGACATATATTGTTATAGTCTCCAAATTTTTTGTGGTTCTGCTGGAAAACCGATTTTCAAAATGGCCCTCAGTTTCAAAATGGCCACCATTTTAGTGTCAGTTTTACAGTATTTTTGTACAGCATATAAAACTGCAATATCGATATTGTTTAAATGCAAAGAATCATATAGGATATTGTTAAGTTGAAAATAAGAGGAGGGGAAACCCTAGAGCTTTAGAGATGACAGATATAATTATGTCTCTTGCTTCTCACCTTACCTTCGTTTGTCCAAATTATCACTGGCTAGTTTTCAAATATAACATGTCATTGTGGTGTTTTAATTGATGGTTATTTGCTTGCAAATTGTAATGTAATGTTTGAGATAGATGTCGCATCATACATATTGCTAGTTTTTGAAATAGCCATCAGAGGCGGGGCATAGTGAACAAAATTATTATCATTCAAAGCATGTAAATTTTAAAACTGCCATTGAATGATGTCATCTGTCTGTCGATTTGACCAATCAGCTCAACTCAATACACATTGACATTTTAGACATATGTCATCTCTAAACCCTGAGGTTTTTCTCCCTCTAGAATCTAAATATTATTTAAATGGTGGTCATATTGAAAATATTGCAGAGGGTCTTTTAGAAAGATATGCTTGCCTGATTACATATACTGTATACCCTGGCTACCATACCAGCCCTGTATGTTGACAGCCATTCCCTCCGCTCTCCCCTGGCTTCAGGCCTGACATGTATTAAGCAGGTTTTTGGAAGATTAAATATGAGAGCACACCATGATAGAAAATATGATTTCTCTAAATCTCAAACTTGAATACTGATATAATTGTTTGGTTCATTGAACATTCTATCTACATAGAAACATTACAGACGTTTTTCCAAAATTAGAATGTTAGATTTTTGTCTTAACACCAGTAGTTAGGAGGGGGTAGATCTGCCCCCCAGACCATTTGAGGTTTAGAATTATTCACATCCCTACTGCTTACTGTACAACAGAAAACAATCCCTGTATTTCTATAGTGTGAGAACTAAAGTCTGCATCAATTCACCCCCCTTTTCTCAGGGATATTGAAGAGTTGTGTATGGGGAGGTAAAACAGGCATTTAGTATTATTAGACTTATGATCTCATGTTATGTATATTTTTTTTCTTGTCTTTGAAATACATGTACAGGTTTGATGTTTACAGGGTTATACTGGATGCCATTTCTCAAAAATTAAAAAACTATTATTACTGGTGATCCGCTCGAGGCCTTGTAGGCAGAATCCCCACAACGTTTTTTCTCACAAACATCTATCAGTATCATATGCTTTAGAAAATGTACATGTTTGCGAAAAATAGCTCAGAAGACAACAGAATCATCGATTTAATTCCTTTACAGAAACGGTTTGGGTTAAAAGTGCAGATTTCAACTGTTTTTCAAAATACCGTTTCTGTAACTCAAGTAAGGAATTAAATTGACGATTCTGTTGTCTTCTGAACTATTTGTTCACAAATGTGTACATTTTCTTAAACATATATTACCGATACACGTGTGTTAAAAATGTTGTGAGAATTCTGCCTACAAGGTATGAAATAAGGAAAAAAGAAAAATTGTAGCTTCGATGTTCTGACATTTTGTTACCGAAACGTAGCATAATTGAGTGGATCACCAGTGATTATGGTATGTGGAATTCAGTTGTCTTTTATGTCAGCACACAGGAGTCATGCTTTTCAAATATGTTTCGAAAAGAAGACCCCTGTGTCATTGCATTTAATTCATGTTTGTTAAATGAAGTGGATCCATAAATTCATAAGACATACTTTTTCAAGTCCTCCTTGTTGTACATGAAATAAAAGTAAATAAAGAATAATTATGAAATGTTCAATATTAAACCTATGTGGTGAAGATTCTACCAGATTCCATTGCAAGTTTTAAAACTTGTTTAACAATTACTTAAATATATGGCACATTCAAAAAATTGTAAAAACACTCATACAGGCAAGTGGATTTAAAGTTGTTTTTTTGTCGATAACAGAAGTTTTTCAGAGAAGAACATGCTAAAATCAGCATTCTGTAATTTGAAACTTCTCATGCTCCTAACTCAGAAAGCTGTGAAATTTTAATGATAGTATTACAGGTAACTTTGTTTTTGGGGAATTGAGTTATAACGATGTTAAGCAATTAACAATTAACAGAATTTGTTACAAATCTGTACCTTTTATTGTATCATGTGAGGTCAATTTAATGACATATATGTATATACATATGTTCATAGTCAAACTATATGTTCACGATCAAACAATACAAAGTCAATTTCATCAATCACATAAATAGAAACAAATCATATTATTTACAGATTTTAATTACATGTAAACTTACAGCAATATTATGAACAGTATTTGGGTGATGTAAAATACAAATAGTGTATTGAGACATCTCCCTTATTTATACAATATTAAAATTCAGAAAAGTGCTGAAAATGGTTGTGCATCAAATATCAAGTTGTCAGATTTTTTTATCATGAATATTGAAGGAAATCACTATTTTGATTAATTCATAAAAATTTCTTGTAAATCAAGAGTGAACTGACTCTATTTCCTTTATTATTTTCATTATGAAACTATTTTTCTTCATTTTTTAAACAGTTCTGCCATGACATTTGTCACAAAGAAATTTCTGAGTACTATTCCAAGTGTTAATTTCTTGAAATATTCCATTTTTTGCCTGATTTCCATGGATTCAGCAATTTTTTATACAAGAATATTTCAAGAAATAGTCACCAGTACTGTTGTTAACAAAATTAGGTAGATTTTCACAGAAATACAACCCAGAGTGTGTAAAGCATATTGACCTAGTGCCATATACATTTCTGAAGTATACTACATCACAGTCCTTTCAAAATAAATCACAAATCAATCATTGTGAAAATACTGCAACACAAAAATATATTTTGATTTGTTGTCATTTGGGTGCAATTATTATACATGTACATGGAGGTGTGTCACAGTGTAGTTTCTCAATGATTAAGATATGACTTATTGTTATAACAAAATAACAAATAAGTTGAGATTCTTAAGAAAATATAAAGTTATACATTTAAATTAATACTGAGAACATCATCTTCAAGCTCACTGGTACTGCTAACTCGATTATGGTGGTACCAATGGATTCGTTTCTGTAACAAGATGGCTATGGTTCTGGTCGGAAAGATTTTTCTTGTTTCTTGATTTTCAAAAATATAGCATAAACCATCCCAATACTTTATGCACAAACAAGTACAGTATAAGCATCATATGTTTCTGGAAATCCAAGTGATTTTGCACAAAATAGTTTGTGGGATGACAGAATCTTTGAATTAAATTTAATTCCTGTTATGGAAACGAAACTTCAAAAATGGTTCAATTCTGCTTTTTACCCTGTTTGTGTAATAATAGTGAGGTATTTTAAAAATCAATGATTCTGTTGTCTTCTGAACTATTTGATCGCAGACATGTAGATTTTCTTAAACATATGACACTGACATACGTTTGTGATGAAAATGTGGGAATTCTACCCACAACTTGTGAAATGAGGAAAAAAGAAAAATTGTTTTGTTTGAGTAACTATTTTGAAAAGTGCAGTACCAGTGAAGCTAAACATAAGATAATAAACAGCAGAGTATATAGTAGTAACAAGATCTGTATATTTGTTCCTCTGCTATTGCCATGTTTTGAAGAGTGAATCAATGATATGATAGCAGCAGTGTAAAAATACTTATAAGATATGAGAAATTAAATATTGTATGTATTTATTCAATCTATGATACTGCAGTGATATTCTCCTTTGCAGTTAAATACAGTATAGCACACATTCCAAGAAAATATGGTCCATTAGACTAATGACCTATATTTTTCATGTGAGAGTGCAATGAATATCACTGCGGTATATCCAAATAACTGGAAGAGACACAACCAATTGCAGTATCTGGCTCCATGCCATCTGGCCTAGTTTTTATTTTGGCAGTTACAATTTACTCTAATCCTTGCTTATAGCTGGCAAAATCTACATGTATGAGCCCAAAATATCCACAGACCTGCTGTGTACAGCACTAACTAGCTACAGCTTTTGTTCTTTCCTAAATACATACTACACTGGAGCATCTTCTTGACTAGTGGGGACTTTTAATGTATTTCCACCTATAGATGTTGTTGATTTATTTTTATTGTGAGCACTAGCTAGACTAGTACCACTAGTCCTACTGGTGGCAGAGATAGGTCGTAATGCGTAGCTCGACCCCATAGCATTACTTAACCTCCTGCCTAAGTCTATTTTTGTGTTTGATCGAGAAAGTTCTAGATTTTTAACAGCAGCGTCATGTAATTGACGCATATTTTTCTGGATTTTATGACGACGCCAAGCACGCTGTAAAGTCTTTGCTGCGACGTCTTCTTTTTTCCGCCTCATTGTGGTGGATTTAACAACAGTGGCAACACGAGTGGGGAACGAATCCCTATATTTTTGATCTATTTGTTGTTTAAGTTCCTTTAGTTCCTCACTGTCTTCGACCTCTCCAAGAACCCTCTTCACCAAGGAGGTCAGAATGTCAAGACAATGTAACTTTTCCCCCTCCACTATAGGAAGATCAAATGCTACTATGGCAATTTCATTGGGTTTGGCAATACCTAATGGTTCATCTAAGTCAGCTACAAAATCTGATAAATGATCAAGTTTGATGAACTGTGTTGCATGGGGATCATATCTCTCCCATATTACATAAAACATTTCAAAATCATCCTCTGTAATACCAACCTCTTCTTGTTCATGAGCTTGGTTAAAGTTTTCCAGAATCACAGCAATGTACATGTTAATGATGATAAGGAAGTTGACAAATATATATGTGACCATAAGCAGAATGGCTAACCACTCAACAGGGCAATCCCCACCATCGAAGGCAACCTTAGTTCCATCTTTCTTTGTGTAGAAATTTGGGTCACAGTTTGGTTCTTTGATTTGAAGGGCATAGAGCACATCATTCCAACCAGCTGATGTAGTTAACCGGAACAACAGCACAAAACTATTGACAAAAGTCTCAAAATTTACTTGGTCATTTAGAGCTCCTGTATGTTTGACGTGACTGAATGATGTCATGAATACAACTGAGTAGATGAACATCATCATAAAGAGTAATAATGCAATGTTGAACAGTGCAGGTAATGAGATCACAAGGGCAAACAAAAGTTTCCTTATCCCCTTTGCAGCTTTGACGAGACGAAGTACACGCCCTATACGAAATACACGGACTACACGAAGAAGGGTTGGAGTGATAAATATACTAGTTAAGAGATCATCCAGGATGACACCTGCAACACATATAAGAAGCCAGTCAATAATCTTTATTGTTACTGTTCATAAAAATAGCAAATGACATCAACCAAATAGTAGGACAATCAAGTTACTTTTTACAAGAAATAAAAATCATGTGGATCTGTCCATATATTCCAAAAATTGACTTAAAATTTATAGAACTTTTCAACAAACATGAAAAACCTTTTTAAACAATGCATGTTAATATTTCTGTGATATTAGGTAAAGCTATATTAAAGAGGTTAAGCTACACATATTTAACAATGCGCGAGCAGATAAATGACGTCAGATTTGTTTATTTTCTGTGGGCCAGCGTGAAGTTTACAGGTTTTTACATGAAATTATCATATTAATGCAATTTACAGATGCATATTCAACAAAGCATGAAGGTGAACTCCAATGCGCGCGCAGAAAAATGACGTCAGATTAGTCTACTTTCTACATTAAGCTTGAAAGTTACAGGTTTTTATGTGTATATAAGCTATTACACGTCGCTCATTACGTGATTGATTTTAGCTATGTTCTAGGATGGCCAAATAGCCCATATTTGATAGATAATCTTGCTTGTTATATTGGTAAACCTCAATCCTTAACAGGAAATAAGAGTACATTTTAATGGATAAATTACAACTTCAAATGTGATGGTTTTGTTTCATTTCGTATAACATAAATAGGCAGGGCTAGTTTAATACCCGGGGCTTAGTACAGTATACTAAAGGAAGTGAAATTCCAACCAGGGACTATTATTGCCTTATCACTACATTTGATTTGTGAACGAGGCATTTTCTTTCTTTTTACATCCACCCTTGATATGAGCAATATGATACTAAAGTCATTTGATTTTGGTTGAATGTGAAATAAAGTAAAAAAAAAAAAATGTAGTCAAATGACTGGATTTGAACTCAGGCTTAACAGACACGAGTCCTATGTGCTAACCATTACACCATATGGCCATAACTAGGGGTCTCACGATTGCTCGGATTTGCTCGAGCACGCAAGCAATTGGTCACAATATGAGCGTATCGATACTCAACTTGATTATCGGTTAAAATTCGGTATCGTTTTTAACCTCCCAAAACAGCAAAATCATGTTGGAAAGCATATTAAATAATGTAAGACTGCATCTTCCTGGTATTTTCATTTTGTTCCTTGTGTAATCTGGCATAGAATTTACCCTAGTATAGGATATCCGATTTCGTTTAATGAAAAAACTTTGGAAAAGATGTGAAATAAATGTAAATCATGGATGGACACTAGTGGACATTAGTTTTAGGAGGACATTCATAATAACATACTGTTTCACGAGTTTGAAATTCGGCGGTTGGTACATTTGGCATCTTACGGTCTTGTTTTTCCATATATTTTTGGAAAATAAAAATATGTGTCGCGCTGTTACATTGCTCATATCGTTTCTATCATATCGTGAGGTAAATATCGAAATTAAAGATATTGTATTGTGGGACCCCTAGCCATAACCCTTTATGACAGTCACCACATAAATATGCCTCCACATCCACTGACATGGTTTCAGACGTGTAGCTTAACAGAAAATTTTCTTAAACGTGTACTTGAGCATGATCTTACGCGTTCAGGTTCCCAGTTTGCATTTGAACGTGTAGCTTAACCTCTCTATTATCAGATAAAAGTATACAGTACTTACCAATGATAGAGAGAAATACTACTATGAAGTCAAAGACGTTCCAAACACGTCTGAAATAGTGCCACCCCATGCCAATAATCTTTACTATTGCCTCCAGGGCGAATACTGTTGTAAATACGAGGTTGGTTATATCCAGGGCTTTTACCACTGTATCAGACTGTTTGTAATGTTCGATCGCCATAGCACCCATGTTTAACATGATTAATGAAACAATGGCCAGCTCAAACTTGTTACTAAGGGCAACATCAAAGAAAAATGCCCTTAATTTGCCCTGAAAATAAAAAAATTATATCATATCTCAATAGAATAGATGTGAGCAGAAATAATCTTTATTTTCATCATTAAATTTGAAACTTGTACAATATTTGAAATATACTCATGCATACAAAGTTACATCTAAAATGAGGTTCTAAAAATTGATTGACATTTTTGAAATTTTAATAATATTCTTCTAGATCCGATAGATTTCCAGATTCCCCATACTGCCATAGAACCCTGGTGTTAGAAAATCATGAAAAGTGAACTATCACAATTTTTGAACAGATCACAATTTCTCTTACTGAACACATCTTAATATAATCAAACTCATTTTCAATTTTCAAAAAAGATTTGATCCACTAAATTTATCTATTATTTAAGTTTTGTTGCCAAATGTCAGATCAAACCTGCTGGTGAAACTGGTAACTACATAAATCTTTTATTGTATTGAACCTACTTATTGATCACATCTTAAGTAATATAATTATCAAAATTAAACAGATTAGATATAAATTGGTCCACTAAATCTATTTATCATACATACTGGCACAATATTGAAAAACTGTGCCAGACTTTTAACCAAAATCATTTTTTAACATTAAAAATTTAATTGTACTATTGATTCACAATTCCACATTTTCCTCCATTATTAATAGTAGAACATTACTCACCTTGGGCCTTTTGATGGTTTTCTGTGGCTTCCTCTGCCCTAGCTTCTTCAGTGTATTGATGTAGTTCCTCTGGTTTGAGGTCAGGAACATGTCTAAGTAGCTCCCTTCATACTTCTTCTTCAGCATGTTAAAGTTGTCAATGATGACACCAATGAACAGGTTCAAGGTAAAAAAAGAACCAACCAGGATGAACCCAAAGAAAAAGAAATAATAATATAAACTGTTTTCTCTTCTTGGTTGAATATCAATATCGGTGACATCAATAGCATCTCTCATAACTTCCATCCAGCCTTCAAATGTTGCCACCTGGAACAAGGCTAACAATCCATGACCAACACCATCAAAATGAATATCCGCATTTATCCATTCATAACCCTTAGCTAAACACTCAGTTTTGTTGGCAGTGATGTTGTAGTGCAAGCGTTCTCCATCCTGGGCACAATAACGGAAGAGCCCTTTGAAGAACTGGACACCCATGATGCTGAATATCACCCAAATGAGGAGACAAACAACAAGTACACTGAAGATGGAGGGTATAGCGTACATCAGTGCATTCACAACAATCTGAAATAGATCAGAAAACCAGGATTAATTCCAATTCACAATGAGGATATCTCATTTGGGATATACTGAATTTAAAAGCTACAAAGCAAACCAGATCGTCTGCTTCAACATGGACTTGATGACAAAAAATGTTGTTTTTTTTGTATCAGATTGACATTGTGCTTTTGAAATTGAAGAAGACAAATGTCATTGGCAGTAGATTTACAAATCAGTTGTATGATAAGCAGCAATTAATCTTTTATATTTGTCGATCGCAACATCGGACTGTTGTCTAGTGATGCCACATTAAAAGGCTTCATAAACACATCTTAGCTGAAAATGAACTTACCCTCATCCCCTGCCACCTCGATACTGCTCTAAGTGGTCTTAATGCACGAAGTGTCCTCAGGGCACGGAATCCAGAGATCTGAGACAGACCTAAAGCTTCTAGCAAAATACCAGTGATGGAGACCTAAAATAATACAATCTATAAATTAATCAATTGATGAATTGTGATCTCCGGATGGTTGCCACTTAGTAGTAACGTCACAGGTTATGTCAATAGCTAGTGCTGCTATAGACAGGAAGTAAAATGGTAAGATTATGTCCTGTTTTTCATGCTATATTGATATATTGAAGAAACAAACTTCACACCCAGGAAACATAGTGTCAATGATATTGATCTAGCTAGTAAATCACATCTTCTAGATCTGAAACATACTTCATTAAGGAAGTGTTACATATTTCAGCCCAAACTATCAATTTTCCAACATATTGGATCGTGATCACATCCAATTTTTCTATATGGCACCATATCAGCATGATGAAAAGCAAGAGTATCAACAATTTGAATTACTGAATTCTCATTGCAAATGGTCAATTGATTAATCAAAAGATTTAGGAGGTTCAGCCATGGTAATTTTTTGAAAATTACATATCAGAGAAGTTTCAAAACACAAGAATTCACACATTTGCTTTACAAAACACCTAAATTATGATATGAATGTATTTTTCCATATCATATTATTTTTTAGGTTTGATTAAGACACAGGACAATTGACTTCCATGTATTGTAATTTTGCCAACTTACCACTACAATACAGAAGTCCAGAATGGACCAGGGATTGGTGAAGTACTTTTTGAAGCCAAGTCCAACCCACTTCATCAACATCTCAAGAGTGAACAGGACACTGAATATGATGTTGAGGTAAAACAGGGCAAGCTTAAGGTCTGCCCACTCTGGCTCATTGATGTAAGCATCCTCAAAACACTGAAATAAATCAGAAATCATATATGGATATGTTTCGAAATGGTTATAGATACCATATCAAGAAAAACTAGAAAACGGCAACTCCACAGAGTAGCAAATCCCAATGAACACTATGACATATATGAATCTGCATTTGTCACAAAAATACAAACATTAGAGATATATCAGAATTTCTACCAATTTAAGCATTTGGGTGAGAGTTTCAAAGGCACAAATAATAAAGGCAATATATTTGAGATTTGATAAATTATCATGTAACCATGCCTTAAAGAAATCTCTAAGTAAAAGCAAATACCTGTTAGGCAGCCAATTTGAATTTTCTGAGGCACAAATCAGGAAAACAATACCATAATTGTACATTTTGAATTTGACGAGGCCCAAATCAGAAAACCGATACTATATTTGCAATCTACTCCAAATTGCCTTTCATTTGAGTGTAATAAAGCTATACTTCAGAAAGATCTCAAAATTAATGCAAATTCCTGTTGGCAGCCATTTTGAATTTTCTAAGGCACAAATCAAAAGTATAATATTGCGAAATCTCACATAAGGTGGCCATTTTGAATTTTACGAGGCCCAAATTACAAAAAACGACACAATATTTGCGATCTACTCTAAATTGCCTTTCATTTGAGTACAATGAAGTTATACTTTAAAAAGATGTCAAAATTAGCACAAAATCCTGTTTTCCCGACCTCACCTCCAAACATGGCCCATGGGGGTCATGGTGAAAAACTCGGAATATATATGTAATAGATAGATGTTTTTGAATATACTACCAAAAAATTCAAGCAATAATATTTATTACTTGGTTAAAATGAAAAACTTGTGATTTTCATGAAAAATTCCCGCCATTTTTAAAGCGGCGGCCATCTTGGATTTTTTGTTGCATACAACTATTTACCAATATACATCTTTCTGCCAAATATGAAGAAAATCTGTCCACTAGTATTTTAGTTATCTTCCGGACAGACAGACATACAGATGGATGGAGGGCTTCACTATATCCCTACCAAACTTTGTTCGTTGGGATAATAAGCTTGCAAAGACCAAAACATAATATTTGAAATTATTGTACAGTGTGATCCAAAGAAGCACATAACTCACCAGTGCTATACTACTGCAGAAAATCAGAAGAAGGACGGTGGTCTCAAAGATCTTATGGGCCACAACATGTGCCATGAAAAGACGGAACTGGTACCACTTCTTGCCAAAGCCAGTGTTGTCCATGTTACCAAGACAGTCAATCCTAAAATAAAAGGAAAAAAACAGTTGTCATTGTTCTGCGATTAGGCAATGCCTCGTGTCTTACACTAGTTTGAATACAAAATTGATTTTATTTAGTAGGTTGATGTAAAGGTTTTCAGAAAATCGAAAAAATAAATTGTTTTTCTTAAAAGTAAATTTGAGATCTTTAAAATTGTTGCACAGTAAAATAATATTTACACACGAAGGACAAATAAAATGAAAACAAATAACACAGAATGAAAACAAAATATTTTACAGTTTTCTTAAAGAATAATATAATTGTAAAGTAGTAGCTCCCTTACTATGGTGTCATTATATCTGTGGTTATAACTGATTTAGGTATTCTTAACTTTGTGATGTTTCTGTAACAATGACTTGTTAATGGTACACAGTCAACAAAATAATTCGTCAAAGCTGTTTACAGTTTAATAGAGCAAAAGAGTCCAACCAATAGCAACTTTGGGCACTCACTTTCTATAGCAGATTCCGGGGCAGCAGTCATGTACTTTAGGAGCAGCCTCATCTTCATCTTCAGTGGCAATGCTAGCATTATCTCCTTCCTTCGCATACTTGTTCCCATCACTGTTGGGAGCTGAAAACTTAGCCCTATCAGCTGCAGATATAGGGGTACGTTTTCCTGGTCTGGCACTTTTCGGTTTTATATCTGCAAGGGTTAGTTCTTGCCCTTTCTTCTTTTTCTTTTCAGCTTCTTTTTTCTGCTGCTCTAATTCACCTTCAAATGAGACATATTGATCTCTTGATGTTTTGAATGGATCCTGAAAAATGTAAATTACAGATTAAATCAAGAGATTGATGGGCAACATTGACTAGAGACAAGATGAAGTAAGTTTTGAAAGATTCCTCATAATTAAGTGACTTAATTTGGCGCTACTTATTATGGCGGATTTGCTGTTTTGAACATTTGGCTGCTACTTAATTGAGCGGAACTGCAATATTGAAATGTACGAGTCTATACATATTATACCTATTTACGACTGAAATATGAAATATTGAAGTTGGTGGCTACTTAATTTGTCGGATTTTAACAATTTGGTAAATCCACCAAATTAAAACAGCAGCCAAATTAAGTAGAAGTACAGCAGGTCTTTTATGAGAATTTTGGTTAATTTGGGCTAGTTATAAGCAGAAAATGTGATGTAACCTTCTGATTACATATGTTTACAGTAGATTTATGTTCAACAGTCAACTTAGGAGTCTAGCTGATGTCATACTCTTGCAAAGTGTAAATCATTTCATACCTTTACTTCAGGTTTATTCTTTAGAATGCCATTGACATTATTAGGAGATAGAAGTTTGTCAGTGTTAATTTGGTTATTCCTCTCCTCTATGTTTTCTGATGATGAGTGACTTGTGCCATTGGATTGTATAGGCTCCATCTCTATGATCTGACAATCACCTAGATAGAACATCCATGTAAATATTACACTGTAGAGCATGGTAGACTATGGCTTAGCATGTGTTAGAACAATGTATCTTAATTATTTTTTATTGCTTAATTATCAAAGAAAATAGAGCCATAAAATAATAATTATTATGATTTTGAATTACAGTTTTAAATACATACTCCTCAAAAAAAGTTAAGGACCAGTGGTTTCCTTCATAGGTTTACATGTTAACCCCCATATTTGTTTGAACAACTATTTTGTAGGCTTGGAACAAAAGAAAACCCAATAAAGATTCTATTCTCTATAAAGACTGCAAAATTCAATGTTCTATCTCCTTTACAATGGGTCAAAATTTGATGTCAAAATTGATGAATTTCATGAAATTAAGAAAAAATGGCAGACCTCATGTAAACCAATAGGAAATGGTTGGGTTTCCATAAGTCATATGAGGAATGATCCATCTATCCGATTAAAAATTAGAATTTTAAGAGACAATTAAATTTGCTAAATTGTCCACTGGACAAAAATATGATTTAATTTTCCAGGCTTTACAAAAGTTAATGGTTTCAAATTCAATAATTCTTTTAATGATCCTCTCATTGTAATAACAAAGGTGGTCAGTGAGGTGGTCAAATTACCTTAAAGCATTGTATCGCTAACTTTAACAATATAAGGGAGACATTTAGCCTGTAAAATGTAAAACCATTCGATTTTCTATTCAGAAAGTATTTTTAAGAAATGTTTTACTGAATAGATATTCCAAAATTTGAGTTGCCCCTAAGGCACCATTCCCCATTTGTTTAACATGGGATCTGCCATTGTTGTTAAATTTCATGAAATTCATCAATTTTGACATCAAATTTTGACCTATTGTAATGGAGATAGAACATTTGCAGACTTTATAGAGAATGGAATCAAGATACAGATTTATTTACTTTATTGGGATTTCTTTTGTTCCACGCTTAGAAATTAGTTGTTCAAACAAATATAGGGGTTAACATGTAAACTTATGAGGAAAACCACTGGTCCTTAACTTTTTTTGAGGAGTATACATACACATTAACTTTTATTTACATGTACTTTTTGCCACAATATAACAAAAGAACTATCAAATGGCATATTGAATAAGATCAAAAACAATCATTAAACATACTTTTGATAGAAGACTCATTCTGAGAATCACTTGTAAAAGCCAAGCTATTCTTTTCTTTCTTCTCTTCACGATCTCTCTGGTCCTTGACTGAGGGGCTCACTGCACGGCCTCGGCCACATGTGCAGCAGGAAAACCAATGCTTTATACGTTCCCAGGCAATAGCAAACTTACTCTTCTCCTTGGGTTTCTCATCAGCTGGGGAGCTGGTGGCAAATGAGTTGAGAAGCAAAGCAAGGAAGAGATTCAGCAGCTGGAATTGACAATAATGTACAATTTACTTATAGCCTTGCGATTGTTCAGATTGTTGTGTGTTAGCATTGCCAATGATTTCTGTCAACAAGCCTAATTCTGAAAAGGTAGATACCTCCTTAAAATTCTCTGTATTTTTTGGCTCAGATTTTAATGACTAGATCCAACACAACCTTATAATTTCTTTTTAAACAATACATGCGGGTTTATTTCACAAGAAGATTTCACATAACATAGAACATAATTATGCAGCAAATTTGCCTATTGGCATTTATGTCAACTGCTAATGAACAACTTCCATAAAAAGAGAGTGCTTAACTTCATACCTGCCAACCTACCATATTTTTACGGGAATCTACCATAAAATTTTCGTTTTTCCATAAAAAAATTTACCATTTTTTCCCGTAAAAATGACCATAAAATCTACAGTAATTTTACCAAAATCTACTGTAAAATATTTTATTATATTTCGATTTTTTCTATAAGAACGGCCGTAAAATATACCGTAAATATTTGGAAATCTACTGTATTTCTGCTAAAATTAACAGTATTCTTGTTCAAACTACCTTAAAATCTACCGTTATTATTTGGAATTCTGAAAAATTGAAGTCTTCCCATATTGCCCTTGTATTATTCCATTACCAACCCTAAAATAAATAGGTGTCGGCAGGTCTATGACAGTGGTTAGTGCGTACTTAGTAAGTTAGTAAGTAAGCTGGCGTGTAATCAGTCAACACACTGGGGAGTATCTTGATGCAAAAACACAGTGTTCAACTACCACACTACACTACTGTAGTTATAAAAACACTGAAGTGTTCAAATTGTTAGTCTGTTTATGAGGAGTTCCATGCATGCTGTGGTAGAAAAACATCTTTATTATCTATTCGTTGAAGTGTGTCAAAATCTACGCAAAATCACTTTTTTTAATCTACCGCAAAAACTACCGCATTTTTTAAAAATCTACCATAAAAATACCGCATTTTTCAAAATCTTCCGCAAAACTACAGTTTTTTTGAAAAATCGATCACAAAAACTACTGCATTTTTTCAAAATCTCTGTAGAACTATCGCATTTTTCAAAATCTTCCGCAAAACGACCGTTTTTTTCAAAAATCTACCGCAAAAACTACCATATTTTTTCAAAATCTACTGGAAAACTACCGCATTTTACAAGATGTTCTGCAAAACTACTCTTTTTCAAAAATCTACCGTAAAACTACCACATTTTTTCAAAATCTACCGTAAAACTACCGCATTGTTCAAAAACCTCTGAAAAAGTAGCGTTTTTTTCCAAAAATCTACCGCAAAAACTACCTAATTTTTTCAAAATCTTCCGCAAAAACTACCGCATTTTGAAAAAATCTACAGCAAAATACTGTAATTCATAAAAAAACTACCACAAATTTTTGGTCTTTGGTTGGCAGGTATGAACTTGTAATATTTGTTCTAATGCTTACCATAAAATTGCCAATGATGAGTGTGGGTATGAAGACAGCCATACATATGGTTCCATTTGCTCTCATACAATCCCAAAGTGGCTCAATCCACTCTCCACACAAGATACGGAACACCATAAAGAATGAATGAAAGAAGTCATCGAAGTGCCACCTGAAATGTAGTAAAATGTAAAACTTATGTTTTTTCACTTCTCTTTTTTATTTTATTTTTTTTTTTTATACCATTAGAGTCAGCAAACATCTTTTAACTAGACAACAGCAACACCAAAGCGTAGCAAATCCCAGCGAACAGCCATGGCTGGCATTTTTAGAAACTAATATAGTAAAAAGCGTAAAATAGCATATAATAAAAGGCCACCATTTTCAAAATGGCCGCCTACTCTCCAAAGTGTCATTAGACAGTATGCCATGCTTATAGTATTCACAAATCAAACATGAACAAAATCGCTGCACTACTTTTCGAAAAAACATAAAAATGGTGGCCATTTTTCAAAATGGTCGCATTCTACCCAAAGCGTCATTAGACAGTGTGGCATGCTTATAGTATTCAAATTTTCATAATGGCCGCCTACTACCAAAAGTGTCAAGCTTATAGCATTCACATACCAAATATGAACAAAATTGGTCCACTACTTTTCGAGTTACAGCAAATATCGCAAAATATGCTTCTTTAATATCTACAATTCTAGCTTTATTAATGCCCTATATAATTGTTTTACATTTAAAACATATTGCTACTACAGTTTCACATATTGTACCTAAATTACTGTAAAATCGGCACTAAAATGGCAGCCAATTTTAAATGAGTGGCCATTTTGAAAATCGTCTTTAGAGCAGAACTTCTACCATATGTGTATAAAATATGAACAAAATCTGGCCAACAGTATTTGAGTTATCGCCCAGACAGACGGATGGACGGATGTAGGGACGGACGAACTTTGTTCGTTGGGATGATGATAAATTAGAGACAGCAAAGGTTTATTTTGTTTTAAAAAACATTTAGATATCTATTCGAAAATAATATTTTGTTCAAGCAATTGATATTTTCACTATCATATTCATCCATTACAACAGAAAAAGCCCAGTTGAAACCAATCCTCATTCATGAATTTTAATACAATTAGCTGATTAAAATGAGCTAAAAGAGAGATTTGCATGTATGTACCTGGGTATATCCTCATCAAGTGGGCCAAAGACCGCATGGGTGTATGTGCCTTGGAACAGGTTCATGCCGACGACAGCAAATATGTAAAGGATGATGATGAGGATGAAAGACATGTTCCCCAAGGCAGAGAGGGTGTTGATGACGATCTGGACCAACATACGCATCGTAGGCCAAGACTGGGCCAGCTTGACAACTCGAGCCTGGAAATCATAAAATTATTATTGAAGTAAGCATCAGCTATATATACCTGTCTCAGTACTGATTGCAAAGTACCTCCAATTTCAATGGGTTTGTAGAAAAAACCGGGTACCGGGTAGTAAATCCTCCATGCTGGGTTCAAACTTGGTACCCGCCACCCGGTACCCGGTCGAAAAAAATAGGTACCCAAAAAACCAAAAAATACGAATATACAACATAATTAGATCATATGAAAACGTGTAAGATTTGTTTTGAATTTACAAAAATGTATGTAACTTCCTTCAAAATTGTGCTAGAAGCTTCAAATAAAAGCATTTTAAGGCTCTTTTCTTCCTCTATCATCATAGTCATATTTTCATTGGTTATTGGGGAGGGGGTGCAATCGCACCATCGAACCCCCTCCTGGCTACGCCTATGACATTGTAAGACGATTTGAAAAACACGACAAATCAATCTTTTCAATAGTTCGTATGTTGGTACGTGAATTGTTTTGATTATGATTTGAATCTGTAAATAGCTATCGTTACTTTAGCAGAGAGGTGCATGACGTGTGTTAATTTACATGATGCAATGTGTAAGATTTCGATTATTAATCATTATTTAAGTTATCCCAATTTTCGACGAAACGTCCACTGAAGTGTAAATTGTTACGTCTTAGGCATAGCCAGGAGGGGGTGCGATGGTGCGATCGCACCTCCCCCCCATAACCAATGAAAATATGACCATGATGATAGAGGAAAAGAGCCTTAAAATACTTTTTATTTGAAGCTTCTAGCTCAATTTTGAAGGAAGTAACATACATTTTTGTAAATTCAAAACAAATCTTACACGTTTTCTAATGATCTAATTATGTTATATATTCGTATTTTTCATTTTTTGGGTACCCTACCTGGTACCCAGATTTTTCTACAAACCCAATTTCAATTACTCAGTCATCTATTTGAAGATTGAGCAATACATTTAAACTTGCACATCGTTTTACAATGCAATCATAGATTGTTCTGGGGTCAAAGGTAAAATTTTGAGCTTTAATGAAAGAATATACAGTGTGTCCCAAAAAACGCAACAAAGACATTGTAAAATCACAGAACCAGTGATGATAACATCAATTTGATTTAGTTTACCAGGAAGCCACATGTCTCCTCTTTCCGATGGCATGTCAATTATTCATATACGAATACAGACCACTGAATAATCATTCCTTTTGCACAACGTGCCAAAATCTGCTCTGGACCAAGTTTTAGACATTGCAACAGTTAAACAAAGAGTCACCAATAAGGTTGCTGCTCTCCGCCAGAACCCCAGATGATTCAAAGAGGTGTGCGACATGGAGACACAAGCCAGTCTCTGTGTGTAGAGAAATAGTGGTCATGTGAAAGGGCATGGAATGTTCATGAGTCATCTTTCATAAAATGACAGACAACGACTGTTTATGCCACTTCTTTTTCCATTTGTTTTGTTAACTGAACCAACAAGGATACTCATGAACGTACACTTGAGATTAAATTTTCTTTCTTTTTTCTTTTTTCTTAGTAAATGTAAATCAGAAACTTGTGTTATGTAAATCTGGTGACAAGAGTTTAATCCTCAGTAACAATTACATAATGATTTACCTGATTGCACAATAAGGATCAGTTGATTGATATTTCATAACTTGGCACAAAGGTCTTTTTACCTATGTACAAAAATACAATGATTTTTCAGGGGTCCATGATCAAATATGAACAAATGACATATCATTGAAAAGGGGAGACACGCGGCTTCATGATAAACTGAATGAAATTGATGTAATCATCACTGGTTTTGTGACTTAATGATGTTTTTCTTTGTTGCGTTTTTTGGGACGCACTGTACAATGGTGATCAAATGGGGCAAATATTGTGTACAAAAACTCACTATAAATGTATCATTATGAAGATTGTTCCTTAGATTGCTCAGATTGTCCCAACAATTTAAGTAACTTGTTGGTCCAGTGCAATAATGCTCGCTTGCTACGCGGATGACTGTGGTTCGAATGCCCAATGAACTTATTATTTTCTTTGATAAATGATTTTTTGATATTATGCAGAAAAACAGCTTATACCCATGCAAACCTTATATTAGAGCATAATAATATTATTGGTTTTATGAAAATGTAAAAATAATGAATGTCCACATATTGCGTTTTAAAGCGATGTTCAGGTTGAAGAGATTAGAGAGTATTTCACACTTTCTATTCAAATTATAAAATTCTCAAAATAATCGAGAGAAATACATAAGAAATCCCTTGAGGTACTTAAGCAATCACAGAAGGTAATAAATCAATTACTCACCAATCTGAAAACCCTGAGGCCTGATATGGCTGGTAAGTCCTCTACTGCAACATCCACCAGACTCATGATAACAATAACAAAGTCAAAGATGTTCCAGCCACTTCTGAAGTAGTCCCTACTCAATGCGAATAACTTTAATACACACTCTACAGTGAATACCCCAGTAAATACCTAAAATAGACATAATAAAACATACAAATATGTAATGCATGGTACCACCTACACATTATTTCCACTGTTAGTGCCCATCTTGTACAACTATTACAATATATAGATAATAAAAAATTAGGTATTCAATGCTTTTAAAATATCTTACATAGTTAGAAATTTTGAGCAGCTGTTTGTGTGCATCTGTCATGTTGTATTGTTCTGTTGCCAAGACAATGGTGTTTGTGAGAATCATCAACATGATAAAGAGATCAAAGAACACATCTGACACAATCATATGTAAGAAGTTTTGGAACCTGCAAATCAAACAAACAATTAAACCAAGAAAATGTGTCATAGCTGAAGAATTGTAAGTGTTCATTCTACTGTATTCCGAACCAATATGTGGTATAAATGAAGTGATACAGTCAAAAATTTAGTAATAGAAATGCCATGTGTTGGGAATTTTTTATTTTCTTGGATAATTTACTAATATATGTGGGACTGTTATACAAGTTTGTTCCAATTTGTGATTTAAACAATAGTCTCTTATTTAACTGTGCAAGTAATGTTTAAAGGTAAATGGTCTCATTCTCAAGAGTGATTCCAAAATACACCTAGTTTTCCTCAGTCCTGTAAACAAACAAAATTAGATTGGACACTCAAATTCATAATTCATATTTGTCTGGCCACTCACTGGTGATAATAAACAATGCTACAGCACTAAAATGTGTTTTGTAATTGAAGGAAATAGTATCAGGTATGTCCTTGTTATTTCTAACATCACAAACTTTATTTCAACAGAAATGGCATTTTAAGGTGAGGTATTAGTGGAATAAATTGTGCAACATCATTCAAAATATTTTAAGAATTAAAAAGTTTTAAGAATTCAATCCAAACATTTTCAAAATAACTAAACTTCCATGAAAACTATTTAAAAAATGTCCAATTCTGCACTAGAATAATAATAGTTCAAATAATGTTAAAGTAGCATCTGTAAGGTCACTTAGGTGTATTTTAGCAGAATCCATTCTCAACTCATGTATGGCTTATATCTTACCTGCTTCATTTAAAGCTAGCTAATTAGTTTTAAAATTAATTTCACATTACCAAGGCCTTTTAATATGATGTATCTTTATATGGAGGAAGTTTTTTGTCAAATGTCAAAAAGGTACACTATAGGTACACAGGCAAATTACATCAGATCCTGTACAAGCCCGTACGGAGCTCGTTGAGTGAACGGGCCCTGCTACGAGTCTCGTAATTGCTTGTAATCTTCGAGCCGCATAAGAGTTTGTTAATTACAAGGCCCGTATTAGCTCGTAATTTTAGACCCCCGTACTTAACCGTATGGTGCCCGTAACGAGCCCCGTAATAAATCGTAATTTTCAATCCCCGTACTTGCTTGTACAGTGCCTGTTACAAGGCCTGTAATAGCTCGTAATTTTCGAACACTGTACTTGCCCGTGTTGTAACGAGGCTCGTAATTGCTTGTTTATTTTGATGAACACTTTTTGATAATAATGGGCCTCGTAAGAGCTTGTACAGGCCTTGAAATTACGAGCCTCATACATACTTGTACGGGCCTTGAAAATAACAATTACAAGCATCGTACGAGCTCGTACAGGCCTCGAAAACAAGTTTCGTACAAGCCCGTGCTCCTTTTTGCCCGTAATTCTCGAGGCTCGTATGAGCTTGTACGGGGCCTGATGTAGTTTGCATATGTATGTATACTTTCAACTTACTTCAACCAAGTGATATAGTCACATTTACACTTTGTACAGCATGAACAGTTTCGGTCTCTGAGTTCTTTACCACTGCCATCTATAAAACATTTCCAAGTACCCAAATTCATAAACAAGTGCTTATATTCTTAATTAATAAATAACAGTAGGATCATACTTGAATAACAGAGCATAGTAAGTAATGCTTAATCTGGAACAACATTTTGTTATTAGCATTGATAATTTAAATTGAATCATAATGTTTTGAAGGAGTAAACAATTAAGGTGACTCGATCTACAAAGTTACATTCACAAAACATAAATGAGCTGAAACACTTCACATTTGACATTCATGCAGTAAGAATGTTTAAATGCCTATATAAGGGTCATAACAATGTGTTATTTTTGCATCTAAGAAGACTCACAGACAATCTATATGAAAACAGTCATCATGGGACTACCTTTAAAAATGTCACTTGTGTTTCAAAATGCAAAATAGAGAGAAAAAGTGGGGAATTAGGAAAAAATAAAATAAACAAGTACAGTATATGGGAAACACTCCACAACTGTATAAGAATCAGAGAAATGGCGTTATTCTGAGTTGAATTGATCAATTGTGCAGGGGGAATGTCCTAAAGGATTACAAAAGTCAAAATGGTGTCAAAATCCAGGCACCATGATATTTTTGTGTTTGTCAATCACAAACAGCTGTTTGAGTAATTTTAATGGCGTAGCGTCATATACGCATAAAACGCCATGGCGTACTCTCAAAATTTAGAGAAAAGTTGATTTTTAGATTGAATTGCCCACACTTAATTAAACATGGATAAAATTAGTCCATATTAAGTCTGAATTTCGTATTTAAAACGCTCCAAAACGCTTCAACTGCAATCTCATTTTCAAATTATCTTGGGAAGAAAACCCACCGCCAAACCCCCTTCAAAGATTGTTAGCTTCGCTCACTCGTGGCGTATACTCACAAAATACCCACGCTACGCCACTGCGATAGTATATGATAATTCAGTGATCTATTTTGAAACATCTCAAAGGAGGAAAGAAATGAATGACATTTCACATAGTAAAGAGTAAGAGAAATAGCACAATAAATCATTTTAAGTATTGCACCATCATACACATTTTGAAGAATTGTGTACTGTTTTCCAAAATCATTATGTCTAAATTAGTCACTTGGGATAACTCATTTGCATAACAAGAGAATAAATAATACAGTAAGGAGCTGGATTACACACTTGACTCATATCATCATGCATATTTCTAAGACAATATGATGGAATACAGATTTAGGAAAGTATCATCATTCCTAATAAATGTATTTACAAAATGGGAATCAGTTCTAATAAAGTGTGAATCATTCCTTAGAAAATGTTAATCTTAACAAAATGTTCATCATTGCTTATGAATCCTGTAACATTCGTAAAAAATGTGAATCATTCCTTAGAAAATGTGAATCATTCTGAAGAAAATGTGAATCATTCTGAAGAAAATGTGCACCATTCCTTCTTATAAAATGTGGATTATTCCTTAGAAAATGTGAATCATTCCTATAAATTGTGAATCATTCTCATAAAATGAGACTCATTCCTAAGAAAGTGTGAATCATTCCACATGAATTGTGTGCAACCAACCTGCTTCCAAATTATCCAAGTCCAACCACCAACTATTTATCTCTAATATAGTTGCAAATACAGATGTTTTTATTTCATATATATAAGTAGATAAGATAAAAACAATTATACCAATAATAATTCATGTAAATATCCTTTAACATATAATAATATAGAGTAACCACAATGAACAGCCAAGACAATCAATTTAATTAATATATTTAAAATCATTTCTTCATATTACATCACATACCTTTAACTATGACTATGACTTCACCGGTGTCAGTTTTGATTCTCTCAATTGTGTCATTCTCCCTCAGATAAGCAGGATTATCTTCACCTTTGGTGCTATCTGTATCTACCTCCACTCCGCTTGTGGATAGCTAAAATATTTACACATATTTTAGAGATTTATTTAACTTTTTTCTTTTCATTTGAATTGTCAAGCAATTAATTTTTCTCTTCGTGATATTTTTTAAGTAATACTAGTATTTGAAAAAGAGAAGTGAGAAAACAATCCATGATCAAAAACAGGAAAAAACTTGCAAAATCTGGTATTGCTATTCATGAAGATGCTGCTGGAAAGAATGTCAAGTTGATGAAAACTGTTAGAAATATGGATTTTGTGAAAGACTATTAGATATTCAATAGGGAAATTTTCTGTTCATTTGAAGGGTTTGATAGTCATCGTGCAGAATTGGACATAAATTCAAATCCTCACGCAATATATCAACAACTTGTGAATAGGAGATCTAACAAGTAGATTTCACTCTTCAATTGAATTGTTGTTATCCATGATGGAAATGTAACCAACCTAAAATAATTAAGGCAATGAAATAGCATAGTAATATTTCTGAAATATTACAGCTTTTATAATCACTCTTGGATATTATACACATGTATCCTAACACATTATTTGCTTTCAGTTGGTTTAATACATTCCTACATTTTATATTCTGTATTTACTGACCTTTAACATTGTGTATCAGACTTTGTATCTGAATGTAGGTCTTAAAATTAACATGATCTATTCACATGTGAGATATCAGGTAATGCTTCCATTCACTTTTAAAAATCAAAGTTGTGTCATCTAAATACGAACATTTTTATCACTGTTCAGTTCTTATGTTAGATTTTTGTAGCACTTATTTTGTTCTTGCATGTGTGGGTATAAATGTCTGAAAATGATGTCACCTACTATGTCTTATTATGTAAATCATATTTGTTCTTATCAATAAATTGAATAATAATAATAATAAAATGAAATTTGCTTCAGATTTTCAAATTACCTAAATGTGTACTTGGACTAAGTTGTTCACCTAATAATGGTACCATATTACTACTGTACCTGGGATTGCCCCTTGGTTGGAGATGACATGATTTCAATAGAGGTCTCATTTGAATCCTGTGTCATCATCATATCAGATGTAGTCATTTTCTCACTACTGCCCATCCCGCTATCAGCTCCTTGTCTTACTGCATCATCACTTTGATTACTGCTGCTTCCTGCACTTTTAAGACGTCCATCCTCATCTGTCTTTTCAGAACTATTTTTTTGACTATTTTTGGCACTTTCTGTGGATTTTGATTTACTCTTCTTGGATTTCTTCAATTTATCTCCTTTTGTATCATCTTTATCAAGTTTAGCTTTGAGATTTTTCAAATCATATCTTGTTTTTTTCTTCTTTTGAGCATCTTTGGCTGCTTGCTCTCTCTCCTTTTCCTGAAAACAGTTTTAGGTTATTTACTTTATGGAATGCAAAAACAACCTATACAGGACAGTGCTATATGAATACCAGTGGTGCATATATCATGTGCGCACAGTGCAGACTTTAAGGGTTATCTTTTAATTTGAATTTGTGATATTTCATAAACTAAGGCATATTGAGTACTATACAAATATTGAATTCTGTGGAGTTGAATATCTGTATATATTTCTGAAGGTGTATTCACCGCAGCCCGAAGGGCGAGGTGAATACATCCCTAAGAAATATATAGAGATTATCCTATATCAGGTTCAGGATATTGGGATTATCCTGACTATAGGATAATATGTTTATCCCATACCAATCTTGGTCATCTGGTTCACAATGTTCAATCGTGAAAATATTTTAGAATACTCATGTCCAGTTTTGTTTTCTTGGACGTGGGCAGATTTTCCTGTTCTGTCAAATATTCCCATATCTATTTTCTCAAATTTTTGATTGATTAAGTGGATGCTCCTTCCCTTTTTTAAACGTCAATTCGTCAATTCTTATTAATGAATATCATATCAAAATTTGAAATTTTACTCCAAATAAACTTCAAATATGTGTTCGCTAGTTTGTCTATCAATTACTTTGAGCTTACATTGCCTCTTAAAGGTTACAAGCAGATAGTTACACTTAGGAAAACTTTTCGGTACAATGCGCATGCAGTATTATAGCATTCGGTATAACGTCTTTCAGTAACCCACATGCCTTAGTTTGTGAAATATCACGAATTCAAATTTAAAAATGACAGACTGTTAAACTCTACACTTATGATATCCACACCGCTTATTTTCATATAGCACAGTCTGGATAGGGTGAATAAGGCTTCTTTGGAATACAAAATGCAGTGATCTCCCTTGCACTGAAGCAAGTAGGTGCTGTAACCACTTGAGATTTAAAAAATAATAAAGTGTGGAAAGTTCCTCGTTTTCTACTTACACTATACTATAATTCTTAAATATTTTTTCTACCTTGTATTATTTTTGGTAAGTTTCTATACAAGTCAATGTACATTTAACACAAAATTCAGAATAAACAAATCATGCACAATTTTGTAATTGCAATATTTCTATATCTAACGTATGCAATACAAAAATTCATAATACATAAAGATCAAGACATTCAAAGCATGCTGCTCCCTATATTTCAATATTTAACAGTTTGTATCTATGCCAAAGACTCTATGGGACCACATTTTTAAGATGAAATAAAGTCATGAAATTGTAAAAATAATGAACAAATGATCCGGTACATAATACACAAGCTACAAACTATTTTGTATAAAATAAAATAGAAAACCTAATGCTTTCTTATACTACATTACTTTCACAAGGATATAAAACATTGAAAATAAAATTGAACATAAAAGTGTTGAAGACTCAACCCTCAGGTGGCAATATATCAGATTAAATCATATGCCACTGGTCACCACCTGGTTATAAACATGTTACATCTTCATTACAAAATGGATGAGCTCACAGGTAAAATATTTGGATACAAATCATACTCCTTGGTGAAAATGATGAAAATTAAAACAGAAGTCCAGCCATTTTGTTGGTGTAATGTCTTTATAACCAGATGGGGACCAGTAAATGTGCCATTTATGACATATCTATAAGAGAGTCATGTATGAACTGAGGTGTCAAAGGTGGATATCCCATAGAAATGTGGTATACCAGTGTATTCTGGGTAATGCCCTAATTATACTTCTACCTTTATAACGATTAACTCTAACTGTTGCCTCAAAACCTCCTGTGTTCAAGTACAAAAACTATTGTTAGCCACAACACAATGTTGTACATGCACTCACAACTTCAGTTGGTACCAACACATTCCAAATTAAAGAATGTTCTCAGTACTATACCATTGTACAAAATGTTAGACAATATATGGTTACATTGTAAAATTGTTAACATCACAACACATGCAAATTTGATTAAAATGTTAACTTATGATTTGATTTCATTAAAACATATTTGAAAAGGGGAAATGTAATCCTAGAATTAAACGAGGTAAGTATAAACATGAAGAAAATGTCATTGAACATTGAAATAATTAGATTATATTGGTTTTATTGGTTGATAACAGAGGATAAACATTATTGAGAACTTCCAAGGTGAGGCATATAACATATATTGGGTGTCCTAAAAAATGAGCCAGTTTTTGACAAGTATTATCTCGGCAATCAAATTCACTGAAAAGGACCATGAGTTGTTTGTAGAACGAATCTGGGGAGCTTTTACATGCATTTTACTTGTGTTTTTCATCTAAAAAACATCAATACACTTTGAAATATTTTATTGACTATAAGATTGCACCATATAATCCTTAAATATATTTTTCATTTTCAAGGATTATCTATGGATACCCAGGTATTTTTATTTTTCAAACTTCAGAGGGCTGGGAATCATTATTACGATCGCTTTGAATAATATAAATGCTGTTTTAAATAGGTTTCATGCATGCCAATAATTTCTCAAATTGTCTAAATGGTACACCTTCCTTAATCTTAAGAATTTTCTCTTTGAGGAATTTCCGATAGTAATCCAATGGTATAATTCCAAGCAGATTTTGAGATAACAGGAAAGTTAATTAAAGCACATCTCGTTGGCTTGTGACATAAACCAAAACAACCCAATAAGGTTTGTATTAATGATCAAGTAAATATTCTGTGAGTGCTAAGAAATTCAAAATAGCATGTCAAAAATCCCCATACCGGAGCTCTGATATATAGTGTTTGCACCAGCTATCATCTTCACATGCTCAGCCTTCACTGCGTTTGATGGGAGCCGAGTGATATCTGATTACTTCTTTTTATTCATCCCAAATATCCAAAATCCAATTCATTCTCAAATTCATTGGAGGTGATATTGTTAGAATAAATACGAAAAAGTATTTTTGCTTGGAAATGGATTAATAAGTGACTTTTACACTGATATTGGTTATTTTGACATACTGTCTTTAATTCTAAAATTCACACATAATATGAGACCAATCTCTTACATATTCATGGCACTAGCAGAAGATACCCTTAAGTGCCTCGGGTAATGATTTCAAAGAATTTGGCTTTTCTATTGCTGAGAAATTACTTGTCAAATTTCTTCTCATTTTTGGTAGAAACACTATTAAGTTCTCATTGCGTTGCTCCGGTATGGGATATTATGACATGCTATCTTGAATTTCTTAGAACTCGCATAACATATTTACTTGATCTTTTTTATAATTTTATACCTTGCTACCGATACTCTTAGGCTACTTTGTACAAATTTTCAGTGAAACTGGTCTAGGATGAATAAATGATCTAGTTCATCAGTTGCCGAGATAATACTTGTCAAAAAGTGGCTCATGTTTTTTGGGACACCTGATATATACTATATATATATCAGAAAATAAACAAAGTCACAGTTTTTAACGGAAAGTGGATGCAAATACTTTTTTATAAAGAGATTTATATAAATGCAATGGACCTACATAATGGATAAAATGGGAAAAGAAATTATTCTGAGAAATGCATTTTGGGAAACAACAATTCAGTCTAGGAAAGAATAATACATTATGGGGAGAGAGCAATGTATTATCAGAGAGAAATGAATTATGGAAAACAGTTTTTGTTACATGATGGTTCCAATAACCTAGCTGGGAATTACTCACCCTGCTTTTGTCCTACACAGGTAGAAACAATAAAAATTAGAACACAAATAATCATAAATCCTTGTGTTTTATTTATTTTTCTTCTTATATTGCTACTAATGTTTTTTTTATTAAAACGCTTTTAGATAAAAAAAAAGTAAATTATAATTCAAATTCTAGAAAAGCATTAATCATTATTCAAACATGCCAAGTGCGTCTCAGACAATCAGCTTAAAGCATTTCAGTGTGTTAATTTATTGATTTATGCATGAAAATGATTTTGCTTTACATTTAATTTTTGATATATGCACAGACTGAACAGCAGTTTTCTTTAAAAAAGGGTGACAGCATATCATCAGTGTGTTCATGAATTTCAGTCAATGCTATAATTTTCCATCTTTGTTTTCATTATTTTTCTGCATCAAATTAATATTTCATTTCCTATAATATTTTGACGAACAAAACCTCAATAGTTTTCAAACGAATATCAATCAATCAAAAACATATAAACTTTTATTTCTTCAAAGACAAACACCTTGTAGATGTAAATGGTGAACTGTTCTACTTCATCATTGACCAGAGCCATTTTTGAATTGCAATAAAGAATCATGTATCATTCTATATTGAAAATATAAAAGCATTTATGTATTGTACTAACCCATTCTGATAATGCACTCAGACTTTGCCTACATGTATTATGTGCATGGGTTAGTACATATACAAAGGTTCCACAACAATATTATCTTAGACACTATAAAGATTATTTTGGGTTTTACTATTATTATAACTATTATTAGGATGGGTTGATTCTTGTTATGGGTAAAATAAGATTTTATATGAAACCAGAGAGGATTATAAAGATATATAATTTCCATAAATATAAAAGTACCTCACCTGACATGATTATGCAATTTTCTTTGAATTACATATTAATTGTTATCAAGAAACAGGAAATCATTATGCAATTCTATTAATTGTTTTGTTATGACAGTTTATATGGAATCTGTTCATTCTACATTGAAAAGGACATTCCAAGGTAAGATTAAACTTTGTAAAGAGTTTTACTTCAAATCCAAAAGAGAGCTGCTAGTATTTGAGTCTTAGATCAGAGAAAAGATATGCTTTATGTTATAAAGCTATAGACAATTTCCTGTTGCTTATCATCATATTCTGAAAATGTGAGTATTTGAGAGGGTTTTATCAATATTGGCTACTTCTTGTCATGTGTGTTTTCTCAAATGTTGCTCTTTGTGTTTTCTCATGATATATTTTAAATTGATCGAGTTAGTGGGGGAGGGTGGTTGTATTGTTAATGGTTACAGGATGGTTGCTTTAAACCCTTTTTCTACACTGCTTACTCACCCGTAGCAAGTATTTACTCTAAAGAATTTTAAAATGTAATATTTTAATAGATTTTTCTGTTATGACTTATATTAGTGACAACATTCATTCAGTGTAATCTAGAATAAATATTACAATTCTCATTTACTCTATATTTATTCACTGTTATAAACAACAACAAGATTTTTTTATATTTCAACATGGCGATATTAGATTTTGTAAACAGCTCTCCCTTATCTAAACATATTTTTGTCATAATGGAACACAGCATTACATAATCTTGTACCTTATTTAGACTTTCCTGATTATGTGAAACATTGTATTCCATTTTGCTAATTTCTAAAAATAGTTACTATGACATGTACAATCACTGTTATCTTTGTTGTTTACCAATTTCTTTAAATTATGTATTCGAAGTGATTCTCTCATGATCTATAATAGACATCCATTAAATAAGAATTATCTTCATCTTAAAGTATAAAGTTGAAACATTTAATGCAATTCTAAGATAAGTTCAGTCTGTCAAGCTGTAAGAACATGATTGCATAGTGACTGCAAAAAGTAAAACTCCATGCAATATGTACTTAGTTTTATGAAGTAAATAAAAAGGGTACGCTAAATAAATAATAAAAAAATATATATATACAAAGTACACTCCTCTTCAAATGGCAACACCAACTCTCCTACAGAACTACGTGTTTAATCAGGTGATTTAAAAAAACAGTACCGTGGGTACTGGGCTCACATGGTATTGCTCAAAAGTTATTCAATGGCAACCATTTTGAAAATAGGCAAGCTTTTGAACCAGGAGTCATAGTGAGTTTTTTGTATTGATGTTGAACAAAAATAACTTGAAACTGGAATCCTATCGACAGAGGTTTTAAGGCAAATGGTCCAAAAGAGGATTTAACAAGACAGATGGACAAATCAATGTTAACTAAAATGGCTGAAAATAAAAAAATGGATATAATTTTTTGCTGATTTTTTGTAACAAAATTATTTCATACATCTACTCTTTACATTGACATGGATTTTTACAATGTAGGACACCTGAAATTATTTGTAAAGCTAGGAAATGGGCCAAAAGTGAATTTCGCGAGACAAAAATGGTGGCCATTTTGAAAATAGACGAGCTTTTGAACCAGGAGTCATAGGGGAGTTTTCTGTATTGATGTTGAACAGAAATAACTTAAAACAGGAATCCTTTCGACAGAGGTTTTAAAACGTGCCACTGTTGTTGACGGAAAAGTGGATTTCGCGAGTCAGATGGACAAATCAATGTTAACTAAAATGGCTGAAAATAAATAAAATGGATGTAATTTTTCGCTGATTTTTTGTAACAAAATTATTTCATATATCTACTCTTTACATTGACATGTATTTTTACAATGTAGGACACCTGAAATTATTTGTAAAGCTAGGAAATGGGTCAAAAGTGAATTTCGTGAGACAAAAATGGCAGCCATTTTGAAAATAGGCGAGCTTTTGAACCAGGAGTCATAGGGGAGTTTCTGTATTGATGTTGAACAGAAATAACTTAAAACAGGAATCCTATTGACAGAGGTTTTAAAACGTGCCACTATTGTTGACAGATGGACGGACTGACAGACGGACAGACAGACAGACGGACAAGTGAGTGATTGCGAAAGCTCACCATTTGAGCTAAAAATATCATAAATTAATGAGAAGGAAATTCAAACTAAAGGGGCTTTAACATGTTCTCCAGGAGGGAGTTCAGTTGCTTAATTTTGGAAGGGGAGTGTATGTCTATATGCAGTATATGTCATGCATACACAGTTTCTAATAATATAACATACAAAAGTGACTGGAAATATAAGAAAGTATGATGTAGATTTTGAATTATAGCGGAATAAACATCTCACAGTGAGGACAAAAATATCATTCAGAAAAAACAAATAAAATTGATTGGAAATGAAACTTTTGAAGGGCCATTCATGTGATACCTTCTTTGCTTTTGAGGTACATAGTAATAACGTTTCCTAAAAGTATATATAAAAATTGTTTTAAAATGATCCTGTTTCCATAAAAATGTATAAATTCCTGAAGACACTACATACAAATGTGCAAATGTTAATTCATCAATCAAAATTCAAATATTCATGTCACCTTTAAATCACATCCTCCTAAGCAGGTGTCCAGAATCCGTACCTCCTTCTTCCCCCCTGCTATAACCAATTTGGAAGCGCCCAATTTAACTGAATCACGTGATCTAATTATGCGCAATGACTTATACATGATTTCTGTCACAGTGTTGTGACAGCCAATCAGATTGCAAGTTCTTAATCAGGGAAATGCTAACTGCTTATCGCAGTGGGTAAAAGTAAGAATATATTCTGGATTTTGAAGCCCTGTGATGGGAGGATGTTGAATCAAAGTGCAATCAAATCTTTGTGCTTCTCAAGAAAATACACATCAACATTTTATTTCATTTCATCAAACAAATAGCAACACTATGATTGCCAAATATTGACTACTATAGTAACTTACTTTTCCTGCATTTGTGGCCTCCTCTTCATAGGACATAGTTACAACAGCTAACATCAAGTTGACCAGGTAAAATGCTCCAAAGAAGACAACAAACCAAAAGAATATGATGTTCCAGGGACCATTGGCACTTATCACCTATAAAATGGAAGATATCAATAACAATAAAATATTTTAAAGTGTATTGATGTTTTTTAGATGAAAAACGCAAGCGAAATGCATGAAAAAGCTCCCCAGATTCATTCTACAAACAATTTGTGGTCCTTCTTTATAAGAGTCTTTGTTTTCTAATATTGCCTTTTGTGCTCAGCATAGTCTCTGCTTTCTATTATGGAATAGTAAAACTAAGATGAATAATTTGGAAAAACATTCAAGGGCTAGAAAAATTGTGAGGCATGATCATTTAAAGGACTCACCTTATTGTATACATCTTCCCAGAAGTCTAGGGTAACTAACTGGAAGCAAGTGAGCATAGCCCATCCGAAGTGATCAAAGCTTGTGTAGCCATAGTTGGGGTTACTCCCTATATCAGGTAGGCAGGTGTAGCCAGCAGGACATTGACTGAAAGTAAAATATAACAATGTGAACTGAGGGGCAATAACTTCTAATGGGTCTGACATTATTAAAAAGTTTGTACAATAACTTCCAATGATTCTAATATAAATACAAATATGTGTACAATAACTTCCAATGATTCTGACATTATAACAAAGTTTGTACAATAACTTGCAATGATTCTAATATAAATACAAATATGTGTACAATAACTTCCAATGATTCTGACATTATAATAAAGTTTGTACAATAACTTGCAATGATTCTAATATAAATACAAATATGTGTACAATAACTTCCAATGATTCTGACATTATAACAAAGTTTGTACAATAACTTGCAATGATTCTAATATAAATACAAATATGTGTACAATAACTTCCACAGCTTGATATAATCTTTGGTGATGGGGCTTATATTTTTGGAGGGTAGGATAGCCTCGCCATTTTGGATAAAGAATCCAAATGGTTCTTGAGAAATGTACAGACCATGATTTTACTGACGATGTAAATACATTTTGTAGTTGAGTGCATGCAATTAGCCTTGAATTTGTATAACCAATACGATTTAGTTATGGGATGCACCTGATAGAGTGTTATCTGAGTGCCACTGTTACATGTATAAATAATGTACATGTATATCCAAATAAATAAACAATGATTCTGATATTATAACAAAATGTGTACAATAACTTTGAATGATTCAGATATCAATACAAAGTGTGTACAATTACTTCCAATGATTCTGATATCAATAATTTAGTTTGTTCATAGTTATGACTAATGTAATCATGGTATGATACAAGATGTCAATAAAAGTTATATATATATATATTACAAAGTGTGTACAATTATTTTAAATGATTCAGATATCAATACAAAGTGTGTACAATTACTTTAAATGATTCTGATATCAATAAAAAATGTGTACAATTACTTTAAATGATTCAGATATCAATACAAAGTGTGTTCAATATGGTCTATAACATATGTACTATATATGAGCCTATTTTATCCTAGACAAACACATTTGGATCAACTTTACATGCTACAATTCAAGAAAGTACAAATGGCATCCCTTTGACCTTTATTTATTACAGTCCGAGAAGATCTTTCCTGATGAAAAGCCCACATTATGAAACACCTTGTACATTTACTTATAAGTATAAGTATACGTTATAAGTTGTACTTTCACATAAGTGCGAAATCTCCCCATTGCTCAGGATTTTCACCTTATGTTAAGAGTTTGTATGGGAATGCCATGTGACCGAGAATGTCCCTATTAACTCTAAAACAAAGTGTGTAGAAAATAATTCTGATATTATTACAAAGTATGAAGAATAATTTAATTCATGAAAAAAACTTACGCTGATCCTGAAATATTGCCGCAGATAAAATATTGATCCTCATCCTCCAGCCAGTGGGCTAAAAAGACAAATTAAACCATTTTATCAACTTATTCATGTGTTCATTCATTCAAGAATGTTTATTACATCCTTTATTAATTAAGAAATACACATACCAATGTTCTCCCCAGGATTTTATCTCAAGTGGGTGCAAAATTTTTATATTTAAGATCAAATTTGGTAAAACTATGCCTGTTTTCATGATTTTCCTCATTTTCAAGTGGGTCCAAATGGATGCTCAGGTGAGTGTATGCCCATTATTAAAATCTCAAGTGGGTGCAGCAGCATCCACTTGCTTTAATGCTGGGAAGATCACTGTATACCATACAGGTAATGTAATATCCTTGTGACTTTTATATTAATCAAGATCTCATTTTACACATTATGTCTTACAAACAAAGAATGAAATTTCAGAGTCATGAGAACAAGGGCCATGTTCAACAAAGTGACCCAAAAACATACATGTACCTGCCCAAAGCAAGTAACTGTTGATGAAAGATAATGTGTAAAACTACATTTGCATTTTTCCTTGGTGGCAATTCCAGAATGAATGGTAAAGAGCTGAATGAGTAGATCAATCAAAACATCATTCATAAATGAAATTTCAATGTTTTTAGTTGTGATATATTTTGTATTATATCGATTCAATAAAATGATGTACTCACATGTATCCTTTGTCCAATCTAAGTAGTAAACATCTGAGTTATTGCTTAAATCATGCCAGTTGCTTGGAAGATCTAACACACATTTCTGTCGCAGCACACCAACATATACTTGGATGGCGAATAGGGCAAACACTGCCATACAGAAGAGTGTGAGAATCATAACCTCCAGTAACATACGCATGGACTTGATCAGTGCGTTTACTATAAGCTTCAGACCTAAAATCATAAAATGTAATCTTAATGTACATGTACTAATCTGATAAATAAAGAAATATATGAACTAGAAAACAGCAACTCAATGGAGTAGCAAATCCATCCGAACATAACATATTTTGATCAGCCATCTAGCCAACATAGCTCATTTGTCACTATGAACCAAACTTTCTTTTGTACAATTACAATATTGAGAGTTTTGGGGTTTTTGTTCTAATTTTTTGAATACTTTTTTTAAATGAACCAATCTTTTCTTTGTACAATTACAATATTGAGAGACCCAAAAATGTTGTATATATGTCATTTTGTTCCAATGAGGTTGGGATAGATGTTTCATTTCATTCTCAAGAATTGGTAGAAATAAACAAAAACAATTGCACTAAAAAATAGTTATATAATATATAAATAATTTTCACATTAAATTGTTGTCAATGAGTGACCGTTACATAAAGGACCATGCTTGAATATAAAAATATTCGACACTCTTAGACGACAGGGGAGGAAATGATCAAAGGAAATGTGTAAAAACACAACGTCTTCCAACCAACCAATTATATTATACCAGAAAATCTTTTAACGTTATTAGAAAGTTAAATGTCTTCCTAAACGAATACACAAAAAATCAAACAGGAAATCCTTAATGTATTCCTCAGATTATTTTTTTAAAACCTACATCAAACCTACATCATAGTCTTTGCTTCAAATCGGTTAAATAGTGACATCATACATCTAAAGTGTACTACGGTATAATTTGTCATTGTACCTTGTCGATGGTTAGGCGTGATATCCATTGAATCTTTACCTTTTGTGCTTGCCTGATTGTTTTGATATTTTCATTACACACCATTTAATTTGAATAAACATACCATCTCACTCAATATTTTTCATAATTCAAGATGTCGGATTTGGATTTTTTATGAAACAGAATTATTTTAGCATTTGATTTTCTATTGAGACTTCTGAATTTTAAAATCTGAATTGACAGAATTAAAGATATTTTAATGCTGATTTCTGTGATATTTGTACCAGTATAGCATAACTCCTACAAATATTTTTTTAGGACACTGAGACTGAAAACTCTCAGAAAATCCCTAGGGCGATTTAACATGGGATTATTTTTTGCAATTTTTTGCTTATATCTTCATAAATACTTAAAGAAAAGTTATGAAAAAATAGGTGTAAAGGCTTTTAATTTTGATATGGGTAAAAAATGTAACCGAACATTACTTGACTTTTTCAAATTAAAGTTTGTGTCTTAAAATATCACCAGTATCCTCTGGTCAAATGTCCTAGGTATTCTATATAAACTGTGAACAAATTCAATATTTTACACAGTATACTGTATATTAGTCAACACTGCACCTGGTAATACAAGTAATGTGTGACGTCAGGATGGAGACTTAGGGATCTATGAACATATCATCTTAAATAGAACAATCAATGCAACTGTCATCACAAGTATTGCTCAGCTATATTCAACTGGACATGGCAGCAGTGACAATTCATGTAGATTTACATATGCACCAGGTAAATGATATACAATAAAAAGCTCTCTAATACATGTATGAATAAATAATTTAGTACCATTCAGCTATTAAAATGATAATGATAACTCTCAATGGGGATTACTTTAATGACAAGTCAAACTGATATATTATACATTACCCTTAAATATCTATATGTACACCACACATTACATAAGATTATCAATGATAAATGAATTAATGGTGTTTGATATTCATAATCAACTATGATAATCTATAAACTAAGCCATTAAGTTGTAGAAAGTCACGTTGATAGAAAATCTTTTCTTTTTATAGATTGATAAACAAATGATCAATGGCTTGAATTAAGAATTTTCTCATCCTAGCATGTTTGATAAAAGAACACAAATGTGTACAAAATGTCCCCACCAATGGGTGATCCCGTCAAATGGTAATTATCCTGAAAATGAGTAGACAAGACTTTACCAACACAATTTGAGGACAGAAAATCCAAAATGGCCACCTTATAACTTAGCAAGAATGCCCAAAAATTAGTCATGAGTTCTCAATTTTCATATTAAAAACCACACACCTGAAAATTTGAAACAGTTAACCAGAAAACGTGTCAACAAGACTTTACAGACAAGGTTTTAGAATGGAAAATCCAAAATGACTGCCTTGATATTTACCCAGAATGTCAAAAAACTAATCAGATCTAGATCTAGACGTTTCACTGAGAGGAACTGTAACTTATCAACACCAATCTTAAAATACTGTAAGATGTAAGGCAAAACTAATCAGTTCTAGATTTTCATACTAAGAATCATCCCTGAAAATTTGAAATTGATCTACCAAACGGTTCACCTGAAAATGCGTAGCCAAGACTTTACAGGCAAGATTTTAGGACGGAAAATCCAAAATGGCTGCCTTGACATATACCCAGAATGCCAAAAAAACTAATCAGATCTAGATTTTCACCCTGTAGACATTTCACTAAGAGGAAGTGTAACTTACCAACACCAAACCTAAAAATACTGTAAGATCTTCATTTTGAATGCCAGAAATGATAATGATAACTTACATGGACATGTAATAGGCCAAAATTGTAAATAAGTTGTGCAACTGGAGAACTCATGAAATTGTCAGAGTTAATGATCAAGGCATACACAATCAGGCAAGGCAATAATTATTGTGTTGTAACCATAGGCGATTATGTAAAAGAACAGAAGACCATATCAAAGTTGACGATATAATTGAGATTCGAAAATGACTTATTCACGACTTCTATAAATTCAATATTTTACCCAGTATGTATTAGTCAACACAGCTAGGACCGCGGGGAGAAAGGGTTCAGAGGGTTCGTGCAAACTCCCCCTTAATCTTGCCTAAAAAAATCGAACCCACCTTTTCCGTCAATTATGTGAACCCCCGAAGTTTTTTTTGCAGTATTTCAGAAAATATTTTGGAAATACCTGATGGTCCAATTAAAACAATTTGGCAGTATTTAATTCAGGGAAGCAAACATGCAAACCTGGGGATGCAAACATTATTTTTTGGTCAGGTCGAATCACTTTCAAAATTGTTTTCTCTCATTTGGACTCACATTTTTACTAATTTTCGCCTTCTATTTATTTGAAGAGCACATTGTGCAATCAATAATACAAGACAATTAAATTGCACAACCTATGCTTGAATTAAATTGGGTATTGGGTTTATGTCTGATAATAGGGAGTTTAAGATTAGCGTAAATAACCCTATACGAAGTTTGTTATTACACTAAGCGGTATTTACCTAAGTTACAGGGTTTACGATACGTAATTACCTATAAATGGCCGAATATAGGTAATTCGTAAACGTATGTTTTTATCCAACAAATTAGATCAAATATCATCCATTAAATTTTAAAATAGTAACAACAAACATTTCTCATTCGATCTGCATAGAAATTAAGGGGTCGAACACATCCACTGATGCGATAAACGATGCCATGTGATGATGCATGAAATTGTTGAATTTACACATTCTTCATCAGTTTTGCTTATTGTAAATGTATGGAATCGGCCATTTTCTCGTGGTTTTAATTGTTTAACTTTACTATTTGGTCACTTTCATTGCTGGATCATGCTAGAAATTTAACATGTCTTTGAGCTATTTATTTGGATTTATTTTTCTGATGTATTCAGAAAGTTGTTAAAATGTAAAATTTAAAGGGATTTTAATAGGCCTTTGTTTTAAAAGTTCTAGATTTTTGCCCTTAAATGTTCCAAATGAAAGGAACTGGTCAAAAATTGGGATATTTTACTTATACATGTAATAATAATAGGATTTTATTAGTACCGATGCCCTTTTAGGGCCAAACGTATATAGCAATAAAGTAAAGAAAATAGGATTACATTCTTCAAATGACATATAAAATGTTACTTTGATATAAGAATCCTGTCTCTACCAATCATTAGATACTTTATCATGTCAGCAGATTCTTTTAATATGATCCCCTCACTCGTCAATAGAAAAATTGTCTTTTGGTTGTCATTCATGTTTTTAAAATTACTACACAGGTTTTCAAGTTTTTCAATGATTTTGCTCTTGCAATTGTTTGGCAAAGGTAAAACTTTTAAATTCCAGCAAACTGGCAAAACTTAATGAAATGGACTAAAATTAAGCAAATCTGGCAAAATTGAGCGAAATTTGATCAAATTTGGCAAAATTTAAGCTTTGGCAGAAATTATGCAAATTTGTTTTTTTTCTACCACATTCACCGTTAGGTGGCCCCAAAAAAATTTTTGCCGAAAATATTCGAACCCCCTCCTGTCAAATCCTGGCTACGCCACTGCACCTGGTAATACAAGTAATGTGTGATATCATGTCCGTAGGCCGTAGTAATGGTGGACCATAATGAATATTCAAAAAATTTTGGTCAGTTTTCATGTTCAAATCAATTATCCAATTGTTGTTGCTTCAGAAGAGAAGCTTCATTCCATACTATTATTTGAACTCTAAACAGCACCCTTGGTATACGCAGTTTACGAAAATTGACCGGTACGGGTCAAAAGCTGGATCGGTACGGGTTAACGGTTTTATTTGAATTTAAAACAGCCATAACTTGCTCAATATTGACTTCCTCGTATCTAATTTGAAATATATGATGCCTCCCGATGCTTTTACATCATACCTTGATGGGGAAAAATAGATCTTATATGTTAGAAGTACAATTTAAAAGTTATCGTGAAAATGAGACAGTCGTTCTCGAGAGAAAAGAGCATAAATGCGCATTTAGAGAGTTTTGGTCCGTTTAAAAATCTGTAAAAAATTGGGGTACTTAAAAGCATCGGGAGGCATCATATATTTCAAATTAGACACGAGGAAGTTAATATTGAGCAAGTTATGGCTGTTTTAAATTCAAATAAAACCATTAACCCGTACCGGTCCAGCTTTTGACCCGTACCGGTCAATTTTCGTTAGCTGCGTATACCAAGGGTGAACAGTGTAGTCTGCTGTTGAGTTAGAGTTAAGAACTGCCTTACCAGGAATGATTGACACTGTTTTGAGCGGCCTCAGGACCCTGAATGTACGCAGACCCTGGAGATTTCCTCCAAATACTTCTCCACTGCCAGAAAACTCTAGAATCATTGTGAAGTACCTGAAAATAAATAAATAGGAAAAATTGCAGGTAGGGGTAGAGGGATCACCTTATTATACCGAAGTGCATTGTACCGAAAACCAACATACTGATGCACATTGTACCGAAACCCATTGTACCGAAAACCATTGCCAACTTAGGAACACCTAACATGAGTGACTTACAAATGTTGAACACCTTCCTTCAAATTGTGGACATCTTGATCCAAAACTGAACACCTTGGTCAAAGTGTTAGACAGCTCAATTAGCGTAAAAAGTCCAAATGGAATGCGTTCACTTTTTCTCGGCGTTCGTTTTTTATCGATCAGCGTTTTATAAAAAGCAGATTTTTTAAATATCAACATAATGCGTGATTTGCGTGACATTTTATCATACACGTAAAATTGATGCGTGATTTCAATCTCATCATGATTTTGTGACGTAAAATGGCTTGCAATGAAAGATATATGATACATGCGATCGCACCATTGCACCCCCTCCTGGCTACGCCTATGACATTGTAATAGGGGTAGGTGTAAATATTTTCGAAACAAATGCGTGATATATACACATATCTTGTACAAAATGCGTGTCATAAATGGCAATCACGTGCAAAGACCGAACGAAATGCGTTCGCTTTTTTCGCCATTCTGTATTTTACCATATCGGCATTTCACAAAAAAAATATCAACAAAATGCGTGATTTGCGTGATATTTGATCATACACACTAAATTGATGCGTGATTTCTATTTTTCCAGCAAAAGCGTGACAATCACACCTGATGCGTGAGGGTTGACAGGGCAGCAAGTTGCATCATTAAAATTAACACATGTCACCTCTCTGCTAAAGTAACAATAGCTATTTACAGATTTAAATCATAATCAAAACAATTCACGTACCAACTTAGAACTTTTAAAAATAGAGTGAGATTGATTTGTCATGTTTTTCAAATCGTCTTATAATGTCATAGGCGTAGCCAGGAGGGGGTTCGATGGTGCGATCGCACCCCCCCCCCATAACCAATGAAAATATGACCACGATGATAGAGGAAGAAAATAGCCTTAAAATGCTTTTTATTTGAAGCTTCTAGCTCAATTTTGAAGGAAGTTACATACATTTTTGTAAATTCAAAACAAATCTTACACGTTTTCTAATGATCTAATTATGTTATATATTCGTATTTTTCGTTTTTTTGGGTACCAGGTTTTTTTCGACCGGGTACCAAGTTTGAACCCAGCATGGAGGATCTACTACCCAGTACCCGGTTTTTTCTACAAAACCCCGGTTGATTTACTTCTGTTACAAGGAGATTAAAGAAGACAAGATAAGCTTTCCAATGGTGCGTTGAGCATCGTATATGTGGCTAGCTATTTCAAATCATAAAAATGTACTTAATGTTGTCAGTATGCGAAAATATTTCATCATCTATTACATAATGCGTTACATTTAATATCAATTTAATTTACTATATATTCTTTTTTCATTTTTTCATGTTTCTCTGCCCTCGATTTTTTCCATTTTCCAAGATTGTTCTAAATCAGACGTCCTGTGGCCTTCCTATAAACTATTTAGTTGTTTTCCGAATAAATAGACGGACAAACAGACAAACGTACGGGCACCTTTTCTATTTCTGGGGATCAACTGGAAACGATGACAGATTGTTCTAGTCTTAAAATAGATGTCCTCTCGTTTGTAAACTGTCTGATATTTTACTCAAAATAAACTTTAAATATGTGTTCATTAATTTGTCTATCAGTCACTTTGCATTTGCATTGCCTCTTAAATAAAGGTTACAAGCATATACAGGGTGGGCCCAAAAAAGCGTCCATATTTTTGTTTATGCTACAACGTTGTTGATATTACAGGCAAATGCATAAACAATATATCATTGGAAAGACAATTCAAATTCCAACAAAATGATGTATAATTCATTTCATATAAAGGAGTATTCGTCTTAAAATATCATTTCGATTACAACAATTGCTGAATACAGAATGCTAAGAACTGACAAGACAGATAAACCCCTATGTCAGCTTTTGGGATATAATTCCAATTAAAGAAGGTCAAAATTGTTGATTTATGTATCAAATGAAAGAAAATTGATTTACAAATGCATAATTTTGGACTCAATGCCTGTTTAAGGCTAACATTATCATGAAATGGGTAATAATGATGTTGCTCTTATATAACTAAACTTCTCTGACATTTCAAATGGCAGACAGTGTAATTATAGAGACCAGAGGAGTAAATAATGGAAATTTATTCCATAATTTATGGGTTATGGCAAAATTTTAATTGAGTTTCTTTGCAAAACATGTTTGAAGCAAATATCAATGTAGCTACCAATCTAACTTTATAACTAGCTACAATGCATAAAACACAACACTAATACTTTGTCGTCATATTTTAAAGCCTAAATGTGTTGATTAAGCAATGTAATGTTATGCAATAAGCTCAAACCTTATAGAAAAATATTGTTTTGGACTGTTACTACCCCATACTATGGAAATGACCATGGAGTCACCAATAGCCATTCATATTTTATGAACCATACATAATCTTGTTGGAAATTGAATTATCTTTCTAATGATATATAAATTATGGATATTCCTAAAATATCAGAGTTTTTCAGTACAATGCACGGATCCTGGGGTAGGGACGAAATATTTCGATGAAAATGTGAGACATATACGGTATCCTCTAAGAAAAAATCTGAATGAAATGCTTTTGTTTGGCATTCATTTTTTTGCTGTATCAGCGATCACTTTTTTGAATTTTTTCTACAGAAATATCATTTTGCTTGACAATAATCAGGTAAAATGTGTATTTGCATGACATATTCTGTCATGCAAAAAAGAACTGCAGTGACTTCAAATTTTCTGGTACATGCGGGACAGTTGGATGGCCTGTACCATGAATGTTGGTAATTAAATATGCAGTCAAAAGAGGAAATGGTCTAGAAAGTCTTTCAAATAAATACCAAGTGTTGCCCAATTTTCCTTTAATACAAAGTGTTTTCCTTTGAAATGACACAAATATTCTAGTTAACGGGGAGGATACTTACCCTAATAATATAACAAAGAAATCTAACCAATTCCATGGATCTCTCAGGTAAGTATAACCATCCAGGATAAACCCCCTAGAGAGTAACTTTACCAGCGCCTCAGCAGTGTATATAACTAAGAAGACATATCTGAAAGAGATAAAACATTTTTTTGTAATCCAGGCAGGCAAACTGTTTGCTTTTAAGCTGACAGCTAGAACAAAAGATACCTAATGTGACTTAAAAAGAAAATGAACAGAGGCTCCAAGTGTTCAAGTTAATTAAAAAAATTCCTTCAATTTGTATGCAAATATTTATAGCTAAATTCAAGATTTTGAAAACATTCTGGCAATTAGGTTGGATTAATCCCAAATTTTTGCAAATATCTTGAATTTCAAATCTTTTAGTTTTCCTGGAGCCTGTGTAAAAAGAGATTGTTATGATTGTTATATGCACAAGGTGAGTGTTTTATTTAACAATTGCAATCTAAATTAAGATGAAAATTCAATACAACCACCGTAATAGAAGCTTAAGAAAGTGTGGATATGGTTACTATGCTATCAAAGAATATTTCTGACATGCTAATAGTTGGTAAAAGGTTACCTTTTAAGGATCAATAACTAAGACAATTGAATTTCACAATCCAATACATGTACCATATTCTTGTCTAGTATAGCATAAAGTGGAATATACTGTAATGATCAAGTTGCATTCCCTATAACACTGCTATGCAGTAATACAAGTCATTAACACCAAAATTATGTTTTATTGAAATTATTATCAAAATGACCAGTCAAGGAAAATAGCTGGAAGTATTGTCCAGTTTCATCAACAGCATAAATCATTATAACCACAGGGAGAGTAGATTAACAATAACTGTCCCTAAGAGCAAGATGCCTGTTTATTCCTAATCGATGCAAATACTGATCCACAATACCTTAGTTACCTTACTAGTGATTACATTTGGCCAGAATTAAACACTCTTTCACTCAATGATATTTAACATTTCCTTAATACGATTCTCCAAGGAAACTGCATCAAAGCTTGGTAAGAGAGCCGAAATGAATAATTATGAGTTTATATTATAAAGATGAGTTGAAATAAAGTGATGCTTTATCTGCAATTGTTACTAAGCAACGTAATTCTGACATATGCCGAGACAGCAACCAGGCTACATGACTGATATCATGAGTGATTAAATGAATGCTAAAGGAAAATAAACGCTAGTTTTCTACCTTGAGGCTCATAATAAAGGTTTAATTACAAGTTGCTATATAAAAAAACAATAAAACCAAAACTTAACCAAATCAATTCTGTTGTCTTACAATAGATTACATTGTGAAAGAAATGTATGAATTCAATAGAACTGATATCCAATGAAGGGATAAATCTGTATTACATGTATATATGGGAAATCTTGAGGATTTAACAGTATTTCTATTTTTATACAGGCTCATCTCGTTTTCTGTTTTGGGTTTAAGTGGTATTTAGATATCATAGAAATAATTATCATACACATTGCAAATATTTGGATTGTTGATTTTGTCCATCTTTGCACGCTCAGTCTTCACTGCATTCTACAGAAGCCAAGTGAATGAAGACAACCAACAGGAGCCAAGTGAATGAAGACAACCAACAGGAGCCAAGTGAATGAAGACAACCAAAAGGAGCCATGTGAACGAAGACAACCAACAGGAGCCATGTGAACGAAGACAACCAACAGGAGCCATGTGAACGAAGACAACCAACAGGAGCCAAGTGAATGAAGACAACCAACAGGAGCCAAGTGAATAAAGACAACCAATAGGAGCCAATTGAACGAAGACAACCCACGGGAGCCAAGTGAATGAAGACAACCAACAGGAGCCAAGTGAATGAAGACAACCAACAGGAGCCAAGTGAATGAAGACAACCAACAGGAGCCAAGTGAATGAAGACAACCAACAGGAGCCAAGTGAATGAAGACAACCAACAGGAGCCAAGTGAATGAAGACAACCAACAGGAGCCAAGTGAATAAAGACAACCAACAGGAGCCAAGTGAACGAAGACAACCAACAGGAGCCAAGTGAATGAAGACAACCAACAGGAGCCAAGTGAATAAAGACAACCAACAGGAGCCAAGTGAACGAAGACAACCAACAGGTGCCAAGTGAACGAAGACAACCAACAGGAGCCAAGTGAATAAAGACAACCAATAGGAGCCAATTGAACGAAGACAACCCACGGGAGCCAAGTGAATGAAGACAACCAACAGGAGCCAAGTGAATGAAGACAACCAACAGGAGCCAAGTGAACGAAGACAACCAACAGGAGCCAAGTGAACGAAGACAACCAACAGGAGCCAAGTGAACGAAGACAACCAACAGGAGCCAAGTGAATGAAGACAACCAACAGGAGCCAAGTGAATGAAGACAACCAACAGGAGCCATGTGAATGAAGACAACCAACAGGAGCCAAGTGAACGAAGACAACCAACAGGAGCCAAGTGAATGAAGACAACCAACAGGAGCCAAGTGAATGAAGACAACCAACAGGAGCCAAGTGAATGAAGACAACCAACAGGAGCCAAGTGAATGAAGACAACCAACAGGAGCCAAGTGAATGAAGACAACCAACAGGAGCCAAGTGAATGAAGACAACCAACAGGAGCCAAGTGAATGAAGACAACCAACAGGAGCCAAGTGAATGAAGACAACCAACAGGAGCCAAGTGAATGAAGACAACCAACAGGAGCCAAGTGAATGAAGACAACCAACAGGAGCCAAGTGAATAAAGACAACCAACAGGAGCCAAGTGAATGATGATGGCTTTTGTCTGTTCATGTGGTTTAAGAGTTTGAATATAATACAGCTTAAATTCAGAAACAAAATCTTCTTAATCGGCTTTACAAACATTCCTTAAACCATCCATTTATGTTGCATTACCAGACATAAAAGTGTGTTACATTAATACAAAAGTGATTTCTTAATTACAGCTAAGGAAAATTATCAATCCATTAGGAACATCAGTGTTCTTATAACATTAGTGTTTAATGCACCCAGAGATCAAGGAAGGTGATATAATGCAAAACATTATTGCTTTCACAATGAGAGAAACAGTTCATTTTAGAATATAATTATATGCCTTGTAAAAACATCAACTATTAACATATTCATAAATAAAAATGATGATTAGGTCAACAACAGATTCCAGACAAATACAACTCAGAACAGAGGAAGCATACAGTAAAACCTGTGTATGTTAAACTTTTTTTGCAAAGAAAAAAACATTCAGTGTTGGTAGGTGTTCACTATAGAGAGGGTAATTTATACAGGAGTCAGTAGAGTATGTGCAGGGGGTGTCCTCTAAAGACAGGTATTCACTAGAGAAATGTGTTCACTAAGACAGGTTTTACTGTATATGCAAATTGAAAAATGAGTGACTGACCCAAAAATCATTATATACCTGGTACATGTAATACTGCAATAATTGGTCTTAGTAATTTAACATTATTAGTACTGTATAACATGTAGAATTACGTTACACTCTTTAATAACTAATAAATAATCCAGTGTAAACATGTTGCCATAGTTAGGCTACACTCTAATCAATTTACATAAAATATTTATCATCAGATCAACACAACCAAGTGGCTTATTGAGCTTTATTGGGAAACTAACAGAAAAAATGAATCTAATAGACAATCAATTTTCAAATCCAACTCACTCAGGGAAGACGTTTCCATGATTCTAATGGTCATGTGACTTGTCTCAACCAATTGACTTTGACCTTGAAATACTGGCCTTGAATCCTTAATGCTTAATCCTTAATTCTTAAGAAATTCTCACCAGCAATAAAATCGCCTTGCATCCATTTTTCATGATTTCTATTGTGATCAGCCCAAAAGGAAAAGCCAACGTAATTTGGGATGAAGCTGCCTTAAGAAAAGATTAATGTGTTGGTACCTAAGCGTAATTAAAGTTTCCATGACATAGCATTGTATTTGGTCAATGCCTGGGCAAAATGAAGATAACACATTTGTACCCAAGGGCCAAAGTGTAAGGGAATCATACCAAAGATATGATACTGATGTAAATATCCTTATATATGGTGTTTGTCCAATTGTCAATAAATGTGGAGGAACCCCTTAACCTTTAGCGTGCTGCCGGCGGACTCGTCCGCCGAGACTAAAATGTCTCTCACAACTGCCGGCGGACCCGTACGCCCGATTTCAAACTTTTAAAAACTTTACTTTTTCGCGCCGTTCGTATTGTCCAATTAGATTGCCCGATTTATTCAGTGCCTAACATGACTTCCTGTTGACCTAGAAATGGCGATATTTCGAAAAATAATTCTCAATTTAACAATTTAAACAGTGTTTTAGTCGTTTTTAGTGAACGAATCGTACAAAATGGTGGACAAATACGATCACAACGAAAATGTGGAGGAAATGGATTACGATTTCGAGCTCTTTAGGCTCTTGGAAGCCGATAACGGTCATCGAAAATAGAAACTAGAATATTTTCTGAATTGAAAAATTGAACATTCGATCGCTGCAAATTCAGATTTGGATTCTGACCAGACGAAGAGGCGGAGCGGCGGGTTTCGGAGGAGTATTCATGGTATATTTATGCCCAGTCGTGTTAATATACGAAAAAATTCATGAGAACATTTTTTTTCATGAGCCAGGCCACTGTATCTTCCCTTTGTGAAAATTTTATCCAGATTCATTCAGTAGTTATTGAGATATTAATTATTTAGTCCAGGCATATCATTTTTTGCACTCTTTGAAAAATAAGCCAGTTGCGTGGGATATTTGCTGAAATAAGGCAGCATGGTAAAGGTTAAGCCCTTGCAACTTTGCATGTTACCCTTATCCTGTCTCACATCCAACAGACTAACAAAGGACATTGGACAACCAGATTAAGTCATGCTACCCACCATCACACTCAATAAGTATTACTATATTATTACAGAACATAATGCCAGATAAATAGAAGACCTAGAAATAGATGAGAACATGTCAAATTAAAGATGCATTAAGCCATAGGTTTCTCCCCCAGACAATCAATGATGTCCTATTGTTATTGCATATATAATATCTCACATACCATGGATATATCTTGAGAATAACTTTTGGGCATATTATTGCCGAAATATCGGAAATACT